ATGATCGATAAATTAATTTTTAATTACACAAATGACGTCGTTGCAAACATATATGAAATACGGCTGAATAAGACAGCTGTCGTCAAAGATTTTACATCTTTGGGTATCGTGAACCTTTGTCTGTGTTTGTACCTTTCTGTGCCATCTGAACACTCAAACAGATGAGCCGATTTTAATGTGTTTTTTTTTATTTGAAGCCTTAGTTTAATAGTAATGATTTTTAGATAATGTCGATGAAAATATGAAGAGTACGTTTGTATTTCTTTTAATTTTTTATGGCAATTCAAATACGGAATACTGTTTGTTGTTATATTTATGTTTTTGACTTTATTTGTAGACATACCGAGTTAATTTAAGTAGGTATTAGTAATTGGTTAACAAATCAGCGAGAATATTACATATTCAATGGAATTCACGTTACTACGTTTTCTCTACATTTCCGCGGCATTTTCCTAAAGACGTATGTAATTGGACTAAGCGCGCGAATGCTCAACTTTCGATATTTTCAATGCAATTCACCACTTTTTAATTTTTTTTTTTTGTTTGATTATAATAAAAAATATTTTCGATCGAATTCAAACAGATTCATATTTAATTTGTCTGTATTTATTCTTTGTATACAAAATAATTTTGCCAATAATGAACGATTATACTAAAATCGTTGCAGAATTATTTTTGCAATTCAGAGAGTTTATTCCCGTATTGGTTCTGTAATAATAATAATTAGTAGACATTTCTTCTTCTTCCTACTCTGATTCCAATTATTATACGGGTATGGCGTAATAATTTTTTATCCATATTACAAAAAGATTTGGCTTAGTTTTACGATCAGTCACCTGCCTGACGTCCACCCTCTTTGGGAATGCATTTGTTGGTGGTTTCCGCTACCTACAGTATGGAGAAAAGAATTGAGAAAAAAACGAAGGGAACGTTGGAAATGCGAAAAGGAAATTGGTAAATAAGAGGAATAAGGGAGTTATGTGGGAAAGGAAGGGGGGGGGGGGGACACTGCAGTTGCGGAAAGGATTGGGACACTGCAGCGGCTCGGGAGGCCGGGGTCGCATACCCATATTCTCTTATTCTAGAATCGGACAGATTTCTAGAGAAGAACACCCCTGACGCGAATAATTAGTGCACACAAAATATCAAAATGAAAATGCCGTGATGTCAATCGCATCCACTTAATTTTAACGTTTTCAATTATTCTTGTTTATTAAAAAAAAAAAAGAATAAACTATTTCATGTAAGGTGCAGACTTCATTAAATTACAGTATTATCATGCATCACAGCTAACTCATAACCAAGTCCATGTAAGCTAGCTAGCAAGGATCTGCAAAGAAATATTTAAAATGTATTTTGAATTCTATCACAAATGAATAAGGTCTAAAAAGGATTACAAAGCAATGACGTCACTCACCGACGGTAAGATTCGCTCGTGGACTCCAAATCGCCTTATTGATATGGCTTATATAGGTTCTAATCAATGGAATATCAAATTAAGTAACCCTATGAATTCTTTACGACCTTTTACCAGCGACTTCAGTCGCAGGATCGGGATATGCTTATTGACCAGTATAAAAAGTAGCCTATATCTTTCTCCATCCCATTTATCATAATACGTTATATTAAATGTCGCAGTGATTGGTTAAAACGTTAAGGCAGTAAAACAAACAAATAATCAAATACATACATACATATCTGTCACGCCTGTCTTCCATTAGGGTAGGCAGAAACAATGGAACGCCAAGTGCTTCGATTCAAACAAACCTCTTTCGCTTCTTAATAATCAAACTCATTTATAATTTAAAATTACAATTCATTTATTTGCTATAGATTATTACATCAGAAGAAAATTATAGTCCAATCTTATTCTGTCATAATGTTGGCAAGGTAATATTAAAACTTACACAAGCAAATAAAAATAATTAACTCGTCGGAATTTAACACATACATATTGCAGTAATATTTTGTCACTTTTTGTATTACTTATTACTTATCTAGTCATGGTTGTCAATACACTCACTGCACAGACAATCACCAAAAATATTACTCTTTTATTTTGTATTTATTTTATTTTTATTTTCATTATTTTATAGATAAAAATACATATAATTATAATTATAAAAGCTGCAACATAATGAACACATTACCTATTTATCTATTTATCATTTATAATTTTTTTGTCATTAAAAAATTCCTTTGCAGAGTAATAACCTAAATTAGTAAGGATAGTTAAGTACTCTGTTTCTCTGTTCTATATTCAAATCTAAATGATGATCAGAACATATTATTTGACCATAACCTATACCATATCTATCGCTCTTATTATTCTCCCGCTCATCGATCTTTGCATACAACTTTTAGGTAGAGGAGGACATGTCCATTCGTATCAACAGTTAATGTCTTAAAATTTCCTTGTCTTTAATTAGTTTTAAATAAGTTTACATTGTTACTTAAATTTTTCTGACTAGAATATGTAAAAAAAAAATTGTTTGTTTTACATACAAAAGACATAAACGCGTTTAACCGGGACCGCAGGTTGGATTGGTATACGTACCTTAAATAAACAATTCTTATTAATTAGTACAAGAATAAGAAAACATTGGATTTTTTAGTTGTAAGAAATATATATTTATTACAGATCTCGCAATACGAAGTACAAGGAACAAAAAGTCGCTCTGAAACTTCTTTTACTGGCTTAAGTGCCCTATTCGCACGTGTTTGATACATTCTCGGGCGATTTCTTTTTTATAAGTTTAAAACAGTATGATAAATTAATAGATAGATACAATTATGTATTCTAAATAAAAAATACAAAGATATAATATTATAATTGTTCTAATTTGTGTACTCTATATGGCTGTATCAAGTCCAACCAGAGATGGAAAGCGAGTGAAAGTTTGGCATTCATAATCAAGTTTGAAGGTCACGAGTTTGCTCCGCGGAATAGAAATCGGTGAATTATAATAGGTATATACTTAGAATATTCCCAGAACCAGTTTTCTAAATGTTCAATGTACTTACTCACTATTATAAAATACCATTGATGACAAATCAGAGACAAACACGACTGAGTTAATGACATAGCAACAGGCAGAAGGTTAAGTAGCTGTTTAATTTTCATACTTTAAAGATAGTAACCGCGCTGTCGACCTGATGATCAATAAATATCATTGAAGAGGAAAGGAATGAAAAGAAGTTCAAAAGAATTGGATATTATGTCGCAAAAACAATTTGTTCTTAGTTTATTAACTATTAGCGACCCGCCCCGGCTTCGCATGGATGCAATGTAGAAACAATACGATGACACTGTGAACCGATTAATAATATTACTATTATATCACTTAGTTTGTATATTTTTTTTAAACATTAAAATGGTTATAAGAAGGTATATGTATAACATAAAATTCCATCGCTGACTTTTTTGTAATTTTAATGAAGAAAAAAAATTTTTTCATAGATTATTTCGTTATATTTCAGCATTTTGGATGAAAACTCTCAGTCGACTTGATTTTTTCTGATATCTTGAACTATTATCATATTTCAACAAATCAACACAAAAGAATATTAAACTATATATATATATATATATATATATATATATATATATATATATATATATATATATATATCCTTTTTTGGAATCACTATATCTATTGATGAAAACCACATTAAAATCTGTTGCATAGTTTAAAATATCTAAACGTACAGATGGCGGAAAGTGACATTATTTTATACTATGTAGAGATTCTGATTATTACCTCTGTACTTGGTAATACGTAAGACTGCCTTTTAGGTCGTGTCGTTTGCCAACCTCCCGTGATTATTAAAAAAAAATATATGGCATTTTCATGTTTTTGAATTTAGAATTCGAAAACAAAATAGTGTTTTCTGATTGGTCGAATAGTCTTACTGTATCGTCTATTCAAAGGTGATAGTCGGTGGTAAAAATGGAAATATTTAAGAAAAATTTGCGTGCGATAATTTTATACAACTTTCAAAGGCTCACGACTTCAGTGTTTTGAATATCATATTCAAATGCTCAATGGCAAATATACAAGTGTGACATAGGTACTCATGCTGAAAAGTTTGTCTCTTCAGTCTCTTTTAGGTGATTAACGAATACAAATGACGTCCATGGTATCTTTTATTATATTTATCTTTTATAATGCATTGGCAATGATGATGACTTCAATATTATACTTAATCTTATGCCATAAGAATAATTGCACTTAGTTATACGATCTTCTATAATTTTTTTCTCTTATTCCGTTTCAAACTAATATACAGTGTTGTTGCTTGCTGAAGGTAGATAAATTAATATGCCAGAAGCATCTGTCTGCTTATAAAGTCGTTTCCGTCGTCGTATAAAGTATTTTGCAATCATCAATATATTTTATAAATATTTGGGGTTTCTTAAGACCTAAAGCTATTCACCTATTCATATAACTAACATGTCTATTAACCCCGTAATTCCACCATTATTACTGAGGTTAAAATATTTTGATTTTATACAAAAAGTATACAAGGTCATAACTTACCTGAATTAGTTAATTACCTCCAAAAGTTGATAAAAGTCTTTCTAGAAATAGGTTTTGTTTAGCTTAATTAGATACTTGCTAATGCAAATCAATATAAACAGTTTCCACAAGAAAAAGTGATTCATCATTTTGGACCACTGACTAGACTGCGTCTCGACTTTTATGCAATTTGCCAATTTCACTTTTTACCAAACACAATAGCGTGGTTTATGTTTGTCATAGGTCACGTTTATTATGTATATTTTATATGTCAAAGTATAAGTAAAATTGAAGAGGAAATACTGAAGACTATATGGTAGCATATTTAAAATTTCCTGTTTTACAAGTTACTACGTAACTTATTTAAAATATAAAAAAATACTGGCTGATTTTGATATAAGAATTTAGTTCAATTTCGCAGTCATCTTTAATCTATGGTTCTACTAGATACTCTGCTTCATAAGATATTTCTTTTTTCAGGTAGGAAAAAATGGCGACGTCTGTTCTCCAACCTGAAGAATGTAGACGTGAACATGAGCCGAAACCTGATATAGAACCGCGACTGACTGAAGATGAGAGACTCCAAATTTTAGAAGCTAAAGAAAGAGAGACGGGGGAGTTACCGGTGGAATTAAGGGAGAGAGCTAGGGTAGAGTTAAGAGAGGAGGCAGGCTTGAGAGAACAAGCACTTGTGCAGATGCGACATTTTATTGAGAAACACCCGGCAATAAAGAAATCTCGGACAGGTAAATAACGTATAAAATACTTGTAATTTTTTATCTAATTGCCAAAAAGAAGTATCGTAATATTTATTAGAATCTATCTTACTGTGTAGGTACGTATGTATGTTTAGTCTACAGAGGAGATAAGAACTATATTATTTAAGAGTCTTATATTGACAAAATTGGAAAATTAATCTATGTGACCGACTAGAAATATCAACATAAAGAAATGGTTACATACACTTCATACAATTAGTTTTTGTTTGAAGTGATGCTGGTTTAGTAAAGTTTGACATAACTAATATAACTATAAACGATTTAATACTATTAATATGATACATAGATTCATATAAATTGAAGTTCATCTTTATAGGCTATACGACGTCAAATATTACATATACGGTTCCTATTTTTTATAATCCAAATTCACTTACAAACGAATAAAGTTGCAAGTTATAAATAATAAGTAACCAGTCAATTTATAATGTTAAAATGCACAGATCGAAAATTAAAATGAATAACGGCCGAGTTATAACTACAATAAATATGCCATTTGATACTTGAGAGATATTTATGTACAATGTGTAACCAGATGTCCACTTTATAAGCAGACGAAGTCGCAAGCAAAATCTAGAATCAAGTATAAATAACTTTTAAAATAAAATAAATTATCTTCTTGATGAGTACTCTGCGAGTGGATCCTTTCTATTCGTGTCACGGGAGGATACGAATAATGCATATTAGTATGCGCTGCTTACATAGGGTTGTTGCTGGCTAATATAAATTGAAACCACAGAGAGATGTAACGTGAGACAAATACATATGACACTTTTTTATTTATTGAATAAATATTTTAGTCTGTGACGAGTCAATGTATATTGAGATAAGTTCTAATTCTGTGATACTGAGTTATTTTAATAGTTTGTGATTTTGATAGTTAGTACCTAAATTTTATTTACTTCTTTACTTATCTAACAAAAAAACAAACCTAAGAGCTGATGGTCTACCATGAAATGAAATTCCGAAATTTCGGGCTTAATTTCGTGTTTTTGTTCGTATCAAAATCGACCCAGTAAATGGAGCTTAACATTTCGTTCATCATAAATCCTATTCTAATAGTCCAGAGGAACGATATTTTAACATTTTTAATAATTTTAAACAACATGTATTATGTAATTTTAACATCAAATTTCTGTTTCGTTCGTCCCCGAAATTTCGGAAAATACTTCATGGTAGGCCCTCTGATATTATCGTCATAGAATTCATTATATATGTCATATAATTATCATTTGTTATTGTTCTAATAACCATACATAGTCAATAATCATGTATGAAGTGTTGATTCTTTGGTCAAGGTGAGAGAAACTCTCCATGCAATAATTCCTCTGTAAGGAAGAAACCATTTTTAAACTACTACCTATCAGTACATTTATTGCGCATTTTGATCCTTCGAGACGGATTTATTTATAGAAACATCAACTGCCCGTACGGAAATGTACCTTTATAATATAAAATACAAATTTTGATGTAGGTTGTGGTCAAAATAACACATTTAATTTAATAATTTAGTAATGTATTAGAAAATTTTGATTTGTGTAAATAATAATCTATATAATATCAAAGAGAATGAGTATACACCCACATATATCTTATACAGTCAATAAATATTTTTGAACACCTTATCAGAAATTACATTTACAGTCACGAGCATTATTTATTTATGGAAGAGAAAGAAAGTGAATGCAATCACTGATACAAAAGACAGCTCTTTACTCCTCATTAGTCCTCAGCATTAATGTCGAGTTTAGTTCGCAGGCATTATTCTCGCCACATTCACACCGTGCCCCTCTCAACCTACATCGCATTATAATGTGTTACAAATACCATACTAGACATTTCACGTATGCACAGAACAGAATCGAACAGCTCGCCCGAATGATTAGCCTACTAATATTTTGTAAACGATGCTTGTCATTCTCTACTTGTCTTTTGAGATAAGTTGCGAAAACGTGAACACTGTTGTTACAAATACATACAGGATACTATTATAGGATTTTGCGGTTCTTGTGTCCGGTATTATCAATTATACAATAATGGTCCAATCATTTATTTATTGTTTATTACATAATAAAAAGTTGTATGAATTGCGAGCTTAATGCCGAATGGCATTCTCTACCAGCTAAACATTTTTTTTTTATTAGTGCCTATATTTGCACTATGAAATATCTAATTAATAGGTATATAATAATAATATGATATTTTAATACTAACTAGATTGACTTACCTGTATAGTAAGGGGGAAAAGGGATTGTTAGTAATGGAGTCTAGCTGACCCAGCAATACACACTATCAGGTCGACCTCCACACGGTTCCCCCTAGAAAGCATCGTGGTTAATTCTAGTGTAATTCGTCACGATGGGCTAACTGACCTGCTTTCATTGTCACCTATCATCCATCTCTCACTGGTGCCTCGCCAGTGATAGCGCAGGCGGTATTACCATTCCATTACCATCCATTAAAAATACCTGTATAGTAGTCGAGAATGCTCGACTGGTTTAAAAATATAATATCAATTTGTTATATAAAGCAATTATTATTATAATTGCATTATATAACAAAATTCTAATAATAGCTTGCGTTATAAATGTCATGGCAAAGCCGATGTCGATCATTAGTTTTATAAAGTTTCATATCAAAGTTTTTATATTTTACAGATGCTCCTTTCCTTCTGCGGTTTCTACGTACGAAAAAGTACTCCATTCCACAAGCATGTTCAATGCTGGAACGCTACCTAACCATACGACAAATGTATCCGCACTGGTTTCAAAAGTTGGATCCTTTAGACCCTAAAATTGCGGCGGTAATCGACGCTGGATACCTGGTACCATTGCCGAAGAGAGACGCGGAGGGAAGAAGGGTTGTGCTTTCTTGTATGGGTGAGCAAAACATTTAAGTATATTATAATATGTAATGTAATGAAATGTAAATAGGATTCTATTTTCTGCGCTTAGTCTCTCATTTGGGCCGTTGTGCGTATGAGTCGTGGCTAGTACAGCCAACCTAGCTCTGCCCAGAAGCACAGAAGCTTCCTGGGATCTTCACAGGACTCACAGAGCGACCTCACCGTTCCGAAGATTTCTAAACGTTGTTGAGCCACAGCTTCACATTCCAGGATTTCGTAAGCAGCCGTTTCTTCGGTGTTGAAACAGCCTTGACATAGAGGGCTGTCTGTGGTTCCTTTTGTGTATAAATGTTTGTTTAATGGACAATGGCCCGTTATTGTCCCTATCATTATTTTTAGGTTTTTCCTATACATACATACATATCTGTCACGTCCGTCTCCTATTAGGGTAGGCAGAAACAATGGAACGCCAAATGCTTCGATTCAATCAAACCTCTTTCGCTTCTTCCACATTTATTAATCTTATCATACACGCTCGCCGGCCTGTCAAGCATCTATTGCATAACACAGATAAATACTTTTTATTGCTGTTCCTTTAAAAATTACAAAATACTTATAAGAAAAAAAAATTACATTATTTATTGTTATTTTTTTCAGATGACTTTCTTTTTTAATAGTTTTTTTTTTTAAGTCTAAGAACAAGAATTGTTCGTGTCGATTAACTGTAAACAATATTTGGTCATTCGGCAGGCCGCTTCGACCCCCATGTCTACGACAGCTGTGTAATGGCGCGCGTTCATTCCATGATCGTGGAACTTTTACTGGACGAGCCGCGCTCCCAGCTGCTCGGCTATACCCACGTCAACGATGAAGCCGGTATGCAGATGCCCCACGTTAGTTTGTGGTCATTGAGTGATGTTCGCATCATGCTCAATTGTATACAAGTAAGTTGAAAAACACACCAAGTATTTTTTTGTGGTTGAAAACAAAATGGTACCTCACCGTTGAGAGATGATGAGTGACGATGAATTTAGAACAGTTGGCTTCTTGTGACTAATTCACCACTAATTAACTACAATATTTTCTAGGTGGAATTCAACCTGATAGATGTAAAGGAGACTAGCTATCCTTTGTTTTTTGTAAAATGGTTGTCTTAAATGATGACGATCATTATAAACAATGTCTCGTAGTGGCATTATTTGATGTTATAATATAGGGTAGATTCAAATTCATAACAACTTTAGATACGATGGATTTTTTATGGGTGAAAATGGAATGGTAATCTCACCTGCGCTATCAGTATACATTGGCGGGGCACCAGTGAGAGATGACGACTTCAACAAGAATTAACAACAATGATTTCCGGGAAAAATTAGATAGAGGTCGACTTAATAGGATATGTCAGTAGCAATAGGATCGCTAGACCTTGTTACTTACAATCCCTATTCTTCGATAAAATGGTTTAGGATCCTATGCGTACAATACGACCAATAAGTATGTGACGTAATAAAGTCAGCTGGGGGGAAAGGGATTGTTAGTAATAGAGACTAAGAATCTCATTGCTAGCAATATACCATATCAGGTCGACCTCCTCGCGGTTCCCCCTGGAAACTATCATCATTAATTCCTGATGAATTCATCATGATGGGCTAACTGGCCTGTTTTCATCCTCATCGATCACCCTTCACTGGTGCCCCGCCAGTGTATGCCATTAGCGCAGGGTTATCATTCCATTTTCATCCAATAAAAAAAATAAAGTTAGTTAGTTAGTTAGTTAGGTACTAGACCACGACGCTAAACAATAAACGAAATATGAAATGTGGACTTTATTCTTACTTTTTGCTTCCTTACACACAGCATTTTATATATTAAATGAGATAATATATTCCATGTATTGTTTTACAGAATTCGACACCGATGCGACACAAACGTACACACTTCGTAAATATTCCACAGTACGGGGTCAGATTTTTTGAGTTCGCTGTATCTCTACTTAGTGAAAAACTTAAAGATCGAGTTATGGTAAGGACTGATAATTCTTTTTTTAATATAATTATTCTATATATGCAATATTTATATACCTTTGCTAGAATACTCTCTATAAACGTATATCTAATTTCGAGATTATTAATTTCCAGTTTCGTTGTTTTTAAGTTATATTTTCCCGCTCTTGATTTTTAAACTTGCCAGCGACGTGTCACTGTCAATTTGACCAATCCACAGACAAAAATTAGGTACTTTCAGATTTGAACCTATATTCACACTGAAACGCCACTACCAATTATACCAATATCATTGTAATAATATCCATAGAATGTACATGTTTTATCAGTAAGATATTATGTTTTCTAATCTGTATGCTTTTTACAGTTTCATCGTACCAGCGAGGATCTTACAAAACATGTCGATCCAGCCATTTTACCAAAGGAATATGGTGGGACTGTTCCACTTAAAGACATGATTGAAGAGCTAAAGCGCAATCTTTTGAAACATAGAGATGAGTTGCTGGCTTTAGATGATATGTATGTTGATCTATATGCTCTCGAGAAAAATGACCTTACTCAAGATATACACTCAACCGCTGGATCTTTCAGAAAACTTGAATTAGATTAATAATACAATGAAAATGTTGAGTGGAGCTATGACTGAATTAACATGAATTTAAATTCTCAAAACATTTTTGTTTATAAAATTTTTATTATTGCATGCATTCTTTATTTCTGTACAATAAGTGTATATGCAAACCTTTTTACTTTTTGTATTAATGTATCACTTTTAACCGCTTCGGCGTCGCTCACTAGTTTGGTTGTAGTTCAAATAGATTTAGAGTATTTTTATCTTCTGTGTTAGATATAAATAGTTAATGATAATAGTTGATTGTCTATAGCAACACATAGAACTTAGTATATAAATAAGGCAACTTATTCACAAAGTGGTGTAGCGATGTATCGTTATGTAAGATCAAGATTTTATAAATAGTGGTACAAACTTTTTTCCTGTTTAGCCAAGCTTTTTCGCAATTCTCGGTTCTACACCTCTTCTTATTTTAAAAGTTTGTGCTATTCTCTATAATATACATACTGCGACTACTGGCTAGAACGATGTAGCGTCGCACCACTCCGTGGGTTAGTAACCTATGAATACCGTGATTATTTTCTGTGATTTAATAATCGCACACAATTGTATTTTGCTGAAGGGATCTCAAACATTCACATAGTTAAGATTTATAAAGGGCTATTTTAATAAATATAAATGCTTGTTTAAGCTTCGTGAAATTGTTAGTTGTTTAATGTTGCTTTCATCCTGTACTCTCTATTATAGTAACTAGTGAGCTAGTGGCAGCCGTCGGTGGTGTCACGTTACCATTCTTAACTGGTTCTATTCCAACAATTTTTGCATGTTTCATATTAATTACTAATAATAGATTAGATTTTTGCCAGCATCATTATCTGAGACCTGCAATTTGAATTATTTTATTGCATACTTATATAGTTCTACAAAGACAGCTTTTGCTTGTAGGCTTAGAGTGAAATTTAGAATACAAAACTTGTGTATGTTAATTAATTTTGATATTGTGTTACAGTAGGATAGGATATTTAGTAAGGCTTTGGAAATAATTATATTATATACATAACATTATTTGTTTTATTTGCATCTGTAATTTTTTAAATAGTATAAATTAGCAAATGTAAATGGTATTTGAAACTGTAACTCATTCCTAACGAAACATCTGTGTATGGCGTAATTATATCATTTGAAACTCGTGGAAAACTCGTGGAGCTCTCCCTTTATCCAAAAAAGCTTGTTCTGCTATTCTATTATTACACCACTACATCAGTGTCCGTTTGTTTAACAGCCATTACTGCGATCAATTCGATATGTATAGTAATATAATTTATATGACTACACGTATTTACACAAAACACAATGAGATAATGAAATATAATTTTATAAATAAACAAATAAGTTTTTTTTTGTAAAGCCCTTGGATCTTTAATATCTCAATGGTCATTATGTTAAAGTGTAGTAATTGTGACAGGTTACATCTAAGAACAAGGAATTACAGGTTACATATATTCTATCACAAAAAATGTCTCTTGTAAAGAAAAACTCAAAAATATGTACATACTTAAAAGAAAGAATATATTTTGTATAACATTTTACAGAAAATTTAAATAATATATAAAGAAAATTAACATTAAATAGTTTGCTAGAAATTAATTTTTCTATTCACATTTATAAAGTTATAAATTCCTATCATGAGTAATTTCGGTTATCTTTTAATACTCGAACTACGGAGCAGTCATTATGACCAGTATTTTGAATTTATTACTTAATATCTCCGAAATTTGTTGCTATAACAACAGAGCTAAGTTTTTCTGATATTTCATTTACCACTTTTTACTGCATGATGCGAAAAAAATACTATTAAAAAAAATTTTATAGGTAATTATCACTTTGTGGTTTGTTTTCAAATTGATATTTCATTTTAATCCATATTATCATTAAATGCAAGACATTTTATTTTTTATATATTGATGCGTAATAAAAATACTATATTAAAAAAAATATTCTTTTTAATATAGGTAATTCTCTCTCTCACTTTGTGAGACATTGATTATAATCCCGCCTGTGCTATCGCCTAGAACTAGTGAAAGATTATAAGGAAACAAATTCATCGTGACAAATTAATTATAACCATTTTAAAAGGTTTATTTACTTATTCATAGTTGCCTTATCTGACTAGTTTATTGCTAGCAATAAACTTGATGTTGTCCATTATTTAAAATTCTTTTACTTCCCTTAAAATATTTTTTTATTGGTTAATATGAAGTAGTAACTTCACCTGCACTATCGGTATACGCTAGCGGGCTATCATCATGATGCTAAGTAAGATAATAAAATCAAATCACTTGGAACCGGGTCGAAATCAACATGACAAGTTATATTTCTAATAATAAGTTATTCATCCGTATCCGTGTGGTTTCGGCACAGAATAGACCACACCTTCCTTTCCCACGAGTGTCGTAAGAGGAGGGCAAGGGATGGGCAGTAGCGTCCCTCTTTAAACATCTGTAAAGCCTAACTGCGGTTGCCAATCCGCCTGTCAAGCGTGGCAACTACTGGCAAAATCCACTAAGGGGGAGTCTTATGTTCAGCAGTGGACAGTTAAAGGTTGATATGATGATGATGAATTACTCATCACTTTTCCCCTAAAGGTTAAAATTAGGTCAGTTGGTTGTTTATAACGAAGTATGTCAACGTCGTTATTGTATGTATGTTTCAGGAACAATCAAAGAATTCTCAAATGTTTTCAATTGTCTATTTGAAAAGTGCTCTGCTTTTGAACTAAAACATTAATCATAGAATACGTTTAAAACTTTTAATTCGTAATCAAAGCACGTTTAATTTGTGACGTTGATACCATTCGTCAAGCTAACGGTTTTGAAAAAAATTGCTTACTAATGTAATCATGCACTCTAATTTCGTCCCTGTATTTGTATTAGTGTAAGTGTGTATGCACATTTGTGAGTCTTGGCATGCCTTTAAGTACCTCATTCTTAGACTTGTAGACCGCGTTGTTATTATGTGGGTATAATGGGCAACACCAGCCACTTGCCATAAACAAAAACAAATTAATTTAATAGACAAAATTTTTTTCGACTTGTATAGACAAAAGTCATAGAGTACAAAACGACCTTGAATTTCTTACCTCTATTTGCTAACTTCACTGTAGTTTTTCCCGCAGTTTGGCGTCCATACGACAGAAAAGATACTAAATGAAATTTCTATGTATTTAGATCAATAGGACATTTATTTACACGTATGATTAATAAGCCAATGACTTTTGATCTTGTGATTATGTTACGCGAGTGATTGTTTTCTTTGATTTCGTGTGCTGTGGTGATTTTTGTAAACATCGGGACAGGAACACAGGCCCACGTCTATGACTTCTTGTACGTATTTCTAGCCATTTAAACGTTGTTGTCTTTAATGTTGTGTATAGGAGGTCGGTAAATAATGTTTATTTTATAGATATCCCAACAAGTGTACAATTAACCTCGAAAATGTTGCGATGTTTGCTAAGGAAATTGTAAATACAGCCATAATCGAACAAATTCAATTTTGTATTTGAAAGAGTTGCAAGTGAAACACGGGTGCAGTTTTATTCGGCAAATGTTGTTTTCTATTTTATACTTTTCTGTTAAGGCTTAGGTAGAATTATTTGTTCAATATTACATTTGGCACGTAAATAAATTTTGTTTATGCTTTGTTGCATTAGTCAATATAACGCAGAGGACGATGCTTAGAACTTGTACTGTTTTTTATTTGAGGTTAATAAGTAATCAATAACTGTTTAGATGATTTTTTTAAGTGTAGATGTATTAAAGTGACAGCTACTGATAATTTCTCCCTTGATAATTTTGTAAGAAGCTATGTGGCTTATTGAAGCTGTTTCATACATAAATGGATTATGGCTCTTACTATCATTATTTAGGCAATAGACAAAAATAAGTGTTTTATTTCCACTGATGGTCCTACAAGCTTATCCTTAATAGATGTTGTTAAACAAAATTGTCTCTGATTTGTTTTTGTGGTGGGATTTAAAAGCCTCAAGGTTTATTTATTATGATAATCATAACCCTTTCCTTTATTAATTTAGGTCATCATATAAAATATAAAAATAACAAACCATATATACTAGGTAGTATGCCATTTTCTGCTTTTAGGGCTGAAAATGAAGCATTTATTTTACTAGGAGCAAAGTTTTATTTGCTAACTATAACTCATAAATAGTACCATAGACATCACAATAAACTAATATCATTGGTACCATGGTATGAGGATTAGGGTAATAATACCCTATAGAGGGATAAACTACAACCCTCAGTCTTATACTGTGTATATAAGATGTCTCATATTTGATTCTCATTTGGCTTAATTTAGGTAAATGAGCTTAATTGGCTCTTTGCTGGATGTTTTAGATTACCAACTTAGATAGTTGATTATTTGATTTCTTATAACAGAGTACCATTGTCTGAGAATCAGGCATATGGCGTGAACATTTATGAGATTGGTATATATGTATATAAGACTTCACCTTTATACAATTATGGGGAAACCTGGATAAAAGAAAACTTTACAACTGTTAACTGAGCAGACTGCCTAAGTGAAAGATGCCAAAGTTCAATTCTTGGGTAAAGAATAAAATATTTAATTCTTAATTTGACTTTTATATGTATGTTATGAGACATATTCACTATTTCTGTCTGATAATTCTTTTTTTTTTTAATCAAAAGGTTTACTTCCCTTTCAGTCTCATATGGATGTTATTTACATTGAACTTTTTTTGTGGAAGGAAGTTTTAAATAATGCAATTATTGTTTACAGATTGGCAGCATGGCGGAAATAGTGTACCCGCAAGGCTGCCGCCCTATCACCGATGACCTTGGACCTGATGAACTGGTTCGCAGACTCAAGGTGAGTTTAACTTTGCTCTAGGCTCAAATCAGGGGGTTAATATAGCTGCATAATGCATTAGGTTATATAAGATGATGGTAGTCACTCAGATGTACTAAAGCCTCAATAAAAATTCTAATAAAAAAAAGATGATGGTATAAGTTTATGTTTGTCATACAAACTAATAAAAAAAAGCAACTTTTTACCCAGTTAAAAAAGTTGTAATGAATTTCCACTTATCTTCAGGAGATGAGGTTCTGTTCGACTCTTACTGGATATTTTGTCACTGCCATAGAACTGGTACTGCTTTTAAACTAGCAGTAGGCTACACCATCTTAGTTTTTGAGGGTAATATCATTAAACAATATGTGCACTGATTTATTCCGGTTTGAAGGACTCGATAATCAGTGATATCTGTTAAGTAAGAGCCACTTCATGTGTACTTTTTTAATGAATGATAAGATAATGGTAATTTCTGCTAACCTGCGCTATCTCTATAAACTGGCGGGGCACCAGTGAGAGATGATGATGAAGGTAGACTGTATACAATGGCGGGGCACCAGTAAGAGATGATAGATGATGATGAAAGTAGGTTAGTTGGCCCATAGTAAAAGATTCATAAAAAATTAATCAAAATGGTTTCTAGGAGGAAACTGCATGGAAGTCTACCTGATAGGGTATATTATTGGATATAACAATATTGGTTTATAAGACTTCACATTTTTATGAATAAAGGGTTCTATACATATATAAAAATTCTATGTCACAATGTTTATCTCTGAAATAGTTTAACTGATTTTAGTAAAATTTTCTAAATATGTATTGATATATATGATAGAGGACAAGTTCATTTAATAAATTTAAGTATAATATTTGTAAAAATAAATCAATCATATCCTCTACAAAGAAAAGAGGCAGGTTAACTACTGGTATTACTTTCATGCAGACTTATTATTGCCCTACACTTACATTCAAGCTGCATATTAATTGAATCCCTTCTAATTGGCACCTGTACTATTACTTCCTCTGTCTTTCTAAACACATTAAATACAATTACCTATAATTTTCATTGTAATTGTTCAGTAAATGTAGGTTCTTAGGTCTTACAGCTTGGAACACTAGAATAAGAACTTAGACTTTTACAAGCTTTTTGTTTCTTTTAAAAGAATTTAGGTTTTTTTTTTTATATAGATAGGGAGGTTAATATTTACAAGTCCTTAAAGTTGAACCACAGTGTAAAAATTCAAAATATTTTAATTGTTTAACTCATTAACGGCGTATTTAAGTGGTGATTTAACAGAATAGAAAAGATACTGCTTATTATGTACCGCAAATTAAGGTTGGCTGATAAGTCTAGTTCTTTTTAAGGTTCTGTGCTTCAAAAGCAAAATTTTTAATCTTATAGGATCATTTTGTTGTCTGTGTATTAGGTTGTCTGTCAAGATCTTTTTTCTCAGGGACGCATGGAGATTTCAAGCTGAAATTAATATCAAATACTCGAGTCTGCAATTCCTTGAAGTGGGGGAAAAATCAAATTTTTAAGTAAACACAATCAAAACATTTATAGCTGTACATTTTGATATTTGCAAGGGAATCAAAACCTATAGAGTACTTGCCATTGACCTAGAAGTATGGAAGTTAGCAAGAAACAATATCATATAGCACAAGTAAAGGGAAAAATCAGAAAACCGTAAATTTATGATTACGTCAAATGAAAAATGTTTTTTGATAAACGTTTTCTTTATTTCAATTATAATTTATACGAAACCCCTGGTACGAGGGGGAAAAGGGATTGTTAGTAATGGAGACTAAGAATCCCATTGCTAGCAATATACCCAATCAGGTCGACCTCCTCACGGTTCCCCCTGGAAATTATCATGGTTAATTCCTGATGAATACATCATGATGGACTAACTGGCCTGTTTTCATTCTCATCTATCACCCTTCACTGGTGCTCCGCCAGCGTATTCCGTTAGCGCAGGCGGGGTTACCATACCATTTTCACTCATCAAAAAAAAAAAGAACCCCCGCCTTGAACTTCGTCGGTTTTTTCTACAGCCTTAACAAAACAGATGAGGTTGTAAATTCGGTTGAAAGTATTTTTTTAAAATAATAATATATATACACCTATCCCCCGATTTACACGGTACTTGTTTTACACGTTTTCGCTTTTACACGGTTTTCCAAATAAGTTTTTTTTTTTTATCGCACTCTACTAAATGCTACTGTCTTTGAACACGTGCGCTGTGTACACATCTCACGGGGAATCCCGAGCTTATGTGCTGACTTGCTGCACATGCACACTGTGTCTGTATTTCTTCGCATAAAATTAAAGTTTTATCTACGGAAAATTGTATTTGAGTGAAAGTTTCACAGTGTCAGAAAGATTTACTTTTTCATATTCGTAAATTACAAATGAGTGCATAATTATGATTTTTATAAATTAACACAAATAAAAAAAAATTATAGGCTTATAATGTCGAAAGAAGTTAAAAGAAAAGTTAGAAACTAAAATCGAAATTTTGGATCTCTTACGAAAGGGAGATAGAGTAGTAGATGTTGCAAAATCATATAACATGAATGAAGCTACAATAAGAACTATTAGAACAAATTAAAATTTTTATTTTTATTTCTGTGTACACCTAAAAATATTGAAAAAAATCACAACTCTTAAATAGCAGAATTATGCATTTTCTGCAAGCTTTTCGATTTACACGGTTTTGACTTGAAAATTTTAAATTTTCGATTTACACGTTTTTCTCAGGAACGTATCTACCGTGTAAATCGGGGGATAGGTGTATATATAAAAAAAAAAAAAAAAAACTATTTATTTGTTCAAATGTGGGTTCTACATCTGGTACATATTAGATAATGTTTGTTATCTCAAAACTCTGCCATTTATGTACCGATTTGCAATATTCTTTTTATCTGAATTCATATTTGGAATGGATAGTTTTGGAATATATCAAAATCGGTTCAGTAGTTTGGTTAATTTTAATAATAAGTAACCAACTGGTTTTGTAATTTTTGAATCCAGTGTCTTTTTAACCGACTTCAAAAAGAAAGAGGTTCTCAATTCCTCATTCTCATTATCTTATAACTGATTTGTAAACCGATTTGGAGTATTCTTTTTTATCTAAGAGGATGTACTTACAGATGGTCACATAGAAATTTTATCAAAATCGGTTCAGTCGTTTAGTTTTTAAAATAGCTGGTTTTGCCACAATTAAAGCTTTTTTTTTTGGAAATGAAATTCAACTATTTTAAAACAAAATTTACTTGTTGTTTGTAAGCACATATTGTACACCGTACTACCCGCAGACATTGAAGCCTCTTTCTACTTTGGGTTTGTTGGAAGAAATCTCTTTCAGACTCACGCATTTACATACATTTACATGCATATTTGTTTTCTACTATTATGTATGTATTATTAGCGTGTGCGATATTGTAGTTGTATCAACTATTAACTGTCTACTGCTGAACATAACTTCTTCTCTATATAATGCTGATATTTAGGATTCCAACCTTCATTTCTTTTCCCTTTTATTTCTTTACTAAACAGGTCAGATTTATAAAATCATAAATACAGAGATTCCCTAGAGTAGATGATCTTCAGAATCGTGATTGAACTGAAATCACATTGTTCATTGTTATATTAATTATATTGGCAAATAATTGGTATCTGTTTTAATTATGCAATATTTAAGAGTGATGAAATATTTTCATAATTGTATAATTGATAATTATCTATATTAAAATTGTTGCATGCCCGATAGAGTAGAACTGTATCTGTATTTATTAATATACTGATGTTAAGAAATGCCTACTGCAATATGTACACAGCTATAAAAGTCTTATTTTTATTCTAATAATATAGACACACACACACACATACACGTATGCACGCACGCACGCATGCACATGCATACGCACACGCACACGCATACACGCATACGCACAGTTGTTTGTGGTCGCACTCCTCCGAAACGGCTCCACCTATTTTTGAGAATAGGTTGTAAAGTATATTTCATACCGCTAAGTGATTAACTGATTAGGACTGTCCTTATCTCTAATTTATATGACAGAGCAATGTTTGACGAGTCATTTACTAATATATTTTATTTGCTTATCACTATACATAGTATAAAACAAAATCGCTTTCAGTCTGTCCATATGTTTGCTTAGATCTTTAAAACTACGCAATGGAATTTGATGCGTTTTTTTTTTAATAGATAGGGGTTTAATTTAATTGTATATTACTGGCATAATATAGTGGAGAAACATTGATAATTTTAGAGGTTTCTAATGTCATGTCGTAAATAATATTTTTTTGTTTTTTTTTTAAATGTAGTGATAATATTTTTATTTTTTTTATTTTTTTTTTTTATTTTATTTTATACAAAAATCCACAGCTCTTAAAAAATAACTTACATGCTAAGTCTCTTATGAATACAGCCAATAACGGATTTTACTTATACAAACAAAAATTTTGATTCCATAGCGAGGTAGGCAAGTTACAATATATGAAGTATCAGCATTGCACCTGTGCGAAGCCGGGGCGGGTCACTAGTAATAATATAATGGTGTAATTAGTCTACTTTGTAATCATCATTATTTGTGTTTATTTAAAACCGCAATTAGGTAAATATAATTTATTTATTTAAATAAATAACTTTAATGACCAGAAGAAGTTATAGTACATCATCATGTACTAATTGAAGTGAATAGTAAGTTTTCTTTATAGGTAATAATAATAATAACCTTTTTAAATTCTGCCCATACGAAGCCGGACGGGTTTTTTAATGGCCTATAAAATAAATAACACCTGTAACTATGTCATTCATATGACGACGGACGCGAATACCACGCGAGCGAAAATAAACAACTTATTTTTAACAAGGCACTTCTCTAAATAAAAGAAACTGACACTGCGAGATTTGCACATGTATTTTTGACTGGTACGACCTACTTGTGTCTTTTTATGATTGTTGGATAATAACGGTAATTGTTTTAGTTTGCTTTTAATTTTTCTATTTGTTTTTTTTTTTTTTGACGAATGGTACCCCACTAGCGTATAGCGATAGCGCATGCGGGATACCAGTGAAGGGTGATAGATGAATACGAAAGCAGGTCAGTTAGTCCGCCATGACCAATTCCACAAGAATTTATAACGACGATTTCCAGGGGAACTGAGTAGCGGTTAAATTGATAGGGTATTGGGGCTGTTAGACCCCATTACTAACAATTCCTTTCTTTCATTTCTATTCGATTTGACGAAAATGTATTTTCTCTAGATGAGAGAATATAATATACCGGTCGTTGTATTAAAAGATGGTAGGTAATTTTTTGCGTATAGGCAAAATATATTTATAACTTATGTATATAGACAAAAAGGCTCTTTCACAACGACAGTAGATTAAAAGATAAATAAAGAAAATGCTGTTTCACAACTGGTTGTGAAACGCAGTTATGATAACACCGAATAATAATAATCATCATAAAACAATAAGAGTGGCGTCCTCTCAACTCAAGGTCGTCTAAGTTGTAAGCAAAGGCCTCTCCATTACTAATTGAATCATGAACCTCCGAACCACGAAACGACAATAATTTTTATATGATCCAAACACGAAATATTCAAATGTTAAGTTGGCATCCCATATTGGTACTTACGGATCGCAGTTAAGTCTTTACCGCTAAGCTATCATTCTACTTTCGACTGCAAAATGTAATAAAAACTAAACTATTTATTTGCTCATTTATTATAACTTTTTGGGTTCTTAACTAATGCGGCAGGGGGGAAAGGGATTGTTAGTAATGGAGTTTGACAGCCCCATTGCTAGCAATATGCCTTATTGGGTCGACCTCCACGTGGTTCCCCCTGGAAACCATCGTGAACAATTCTTGTTGAATTCGTCACGATGGGCTAACTCACCTATCATCCTTCACTAGTGCCCCGCTGGTGTATACCGATAGCGCGGGTGGGGTTACCATTCCATTATCATCCATTAAAAAAAAAAAAAACAACTAATGCGGCAACTTTTAATATTTAGATTAATAGATACTCTTTATTGTTTCTTCAAAAAGATTACAATAGTAAACTTATTATAAATATAAACAAATACAAGAAATAATCACAATGAGAAAATAATGGGCGACCTTATCGCTAAAAGGGCATCTCTTCCAGGCAACTTTTGGATGGAGAAGAGTAATTACATTTAAATACCTACCATATATCTATGATGTTATATAGCATTCAAAAATAATAAATACCTTTCTGTGAACTTCACAATTGAACGATTAAATATATAAATTTCGCCATCTTCACTATAATCACGTTACGCAGACTGATCGCTCTGGTGATTGGTGCGAACTGCTGGAAATTAGTGCGTGAATACAGCAGCACCTCGAGCAGAACCGGTGGGCGCCTTCTAAATATATAGTTTACCGGTGTTGAGAGTGATAACGAATGCAGTATCTGTTTTTTGTTGTTTGTACCCCTCATGAGTACATAGGTTGCTGATGCGACATTCTGTTTTACCTCCAGAATATAATTGTTTCTAAAATGAAAAGGGTAGAATACATGACTAGTGACTTAGTAATAGAATATCATAATTGGCTGTCTTCTCACATAATTATGTAAAGCTGTGGGCGTTATCCTTGGGAAGGGGGTGGCGCGTGCCCTTCGCCACCCTCTGGCAACGTAACTCGATATGATTTATTTGCACTAACTTCTGTTTGCATTACATTTCAAATAATGGATATAAGTAACAACAATGCACAATCTTTTACTATTCTGGCCAAGTGGTCGTTTTGATCAGTTTTGTATATAGTATCGAATGCCAAGCAAGCCAATGACCCACTTGATGAAAGAGGCAGTCGTTACCTAGCGTTTTTTTTTAAATCACTGAGGTGGCCCACGTGATGGTAAGCGATTACCGTAGGCTATGAACGCCTGTAATATCAAGGCTATTACGTGCGTGTTGCCGACCCTAAAGAAACCTCTTAATCCCGTTTTAAACTCCATGATATAGTCCTTTGGAAAACCTCGACAGGGAGCTTATTCTATATGACCTGAGCGTTCGTGGGCGGAAACATCTCTAAAACCGCGCTGTACGCAACCATCTAGGCTCTAAGGTATAGAGGTGAACTCCCTGATGGCGAGCTGTACGACGGTAGAAATTGGTCGTGCATTAGGTATAATTTTGAACAATTTGCGTATAGATATACGATGAACAAAATACTCAGCTAGAATAAAAATATTTTATGTTAATTGATTATGTATTATTAACTTTTTATTTTATTTTTAAATGATTGATTTTCGTATTAATCTGTCTAAATTTCGATAAAAAGACATGTCAAGATTGTTAAAAAAATATTCAAAGTAAAAAAAATTACGTCACAAGGATCTTGATGGTGTAGTAGTTTAACATACTACCTCACTTTTCGATTAACGCGAGTTTGAATATCTCGAAATATATACATTTGTATTTTTTTTTTGTCCAATTTACTGGGTTTGGATTCCCAAGCACTTGCGGTTGCGCTTTTGGTGTACGCTCGCATATGCCAAGGTTTGCAGTCGATTAGGTAATTATATGGGTAAAGAATTTGGACTTCATCATTAAGTGGGTACTGAGAGCATGACTTTTAAGATTACCTTTCTGATGCGGATTGATGGGCATACATTTGTATTTAATAGTATGGCTGCAATTTATCAGCTCCATTTAACTTATCGTTTGCTACAGGTTCTGGCCCACACGCTCCAAGGTCTAGGCCAGGATGAGGGCATGTACCAGCAGTATATCCCGCTGGCAATACACCTGGCGGACGAATTCTTCCTCACACACCCGTCGCGGGATGTCCAGCTATTGATCGCTTGCTGCATCGCCGACGTGCTGCGAGTGTACGCGCCGGAAGCACCTTACAAAGACCAGGAACAGGTAAGATGGATTCACTTTAATTATTTTAAGAGATGGAACCCTGCCTATGCTGTCTGTATACTTCAAAATTCAAAATTCAAAAATCATTTATTCATGTAGGACATTTTAGCCGCTTATGAACGTCAAATTTTTACATTATAATTTTATATTTTCCCTACCGTCCAGTTCGGTATATAGATCCAATTGAGAAGAACTGGCAAGAAACTCAATACTCTAGCAGAACAGTAATAGTAATAGAAAAAATAATATAAGACCGAGTACTTTATATATTTTTTTATTTATATTTCAATTTTGGCCGTATGGTCCCGGCATAGAATAGGCCACGTCTTCCTTTCCCGTGGGTGTCGTAAGAGGCCACTAAGGGAGAGCGAGGGATGGGCAGTAGCGTCAATTTTAAAATATCTAGTATAACGGCGGTTAATCCGCCTGCCAATCGTGGCAACTATTGGCAAAATCCCCCGAGGGGGAGGCTAATGTTTGACAGTGGACAGTTAAGGACTGAAACATTGATAATGATGGGCATTTTAATTTTTTTTTAAATTTATTTGACACTTAATTCTTAAGCTGTCGATTGTAAAATAATAAAAGTGTTATGTCGGTTCTTTGCCTGTATTAAAAATTTACTTAGATATGGTTTTAGTGTATTACATGATACACACGTATGGCATACAGCAAAAGTTAAATTCATGAATATTATATGAATAGATGGAAAGTTTGTTTAAAAATAGAATAATTATGTAAATTTTAATCTATCGCTACGCATATGAGTTATACAATAGTGATATGTTATATTAATGTAATTTTTCTTTTTTTTTGTTTCGTGATTTTACGTTTAACATCCCCTTGTTGTAAATCAAGGGGTTAAAATAATTGCTTCACATGAATCATAATACGATTCATTTAGTGTATCCATTCAAGTTTAACAGACATTTATTTCATGCAGGTATTATAATTTATTGAATCGTCCATACTTCTATTCGGAGCTTGTTTCAGCCGTATACGCGTTACGAATTAAATTGAAGTCTAAGTGCTGAAAATAGAGTTCAATTTATATGTACTGTACTCACATGTATGTATTAACCTCTTATAGGGGAGATCATGCCGGTAGTGGTATGTAAATTAAAGAAATTATGTTTGTTGTACAGGTGAAGACAATATTCCTGTTCCTGATAAACCAGTTGCAAGGACTCCGCGACCCGAAGGACCCGGCGTTCAAGCGCTACTTCTACTTATTGGAGAACCTAGCCTATGTGAAATCGTTCAACATGTGCTTTGAACTCGAGGATTGCCAGGAAATATTTTGTGCTCTCTTCTCACTCATGTTTAAAATTGTCAAGTAATTGTTATTTTTTTATTTTCAACTTGACATTGTAGGTAAGTCGCCGTGTAGGTTCAGGCATAGAATGGGCCAATCTCTGTCCCATGGGTGTCGTAAGAGGCGACTAGTTGAACTTAATAGTAGAGGGATGGGTAGCAGCGTCTTTCTTAAAACATCATTGAAACCTAACTGCGCTTGCTAACCCATCCGCCTAGCGTGGCAGCTACTAGTAAAACTCCCTTTCTGGGGATGACCTATTTTCAGTGGACAGTTAATGGCTGATATAATTGTAGATAAATTAACGGTCTACTTGTATAAACTGATGGAAAGTGGTAACAGTCGGCTGTCGTGTCGTGAACCTCATTAGATGCTTTATGACGTTGATAGTTATCCTACGTTGCCATTCCTAAGTCTAAAGTGTTATGCCCTTGTCTTTAAAGTGAAACAGTCGCATGGCTGTGTTTCCGTTTCGGATCAAGGCAAGCCATAACATGCTTGTATACGCACGGTAGGAATATATTGCTCTCGTAGACAACTTTTGTACAAAATCTATGGTATATATTATGCTATATTTATAATATTTTATGCTAATTCAAATGACTAAATTTGATAAAAAAAAATTTATAAGATTATTTTTTATTGTGTCAATTTTTTTAATGGGTGATAACGGTATGCTGACCCCGCTTGCGTTATCGGTATACGCTGGCGGGGCACCAGTCAGTGATGATAGGTTAGAAATAAAATAGGTTAGCTGGCCCATCCTGACGAAGGATTTCGGAAGGTACCCCATGGAGGTTAACCTAACAAGATATATTATTAGCAATGGGGCTGATTTTATTAATGTTATTTTCTTAATATTATTACTGTATTATTTTTTTATTAGCAAAAAAAAAAATACACGTCTATGTAATGATAAATATTGCTGAATAATTATAATTAACTTTAAAATCCACTACTGGCAATCGCCAACATTTAGTAAATAAAATACATTCATTCATAGTGCCAAGTATAGAAAAGCAGATAATAAATGTTTTACACGACTGTGTAAATAATGTAATGTAATACCAAGTAGATTGATGAATGTAAAGGAACTAAAAGAGGTCTGTTTGATTCAGAACATTTGGCGTTTTATTGTTTTTACCTACTCTAATGGGAGACAGGCGTGACGTATAATTATGTATGTATATATGTGAAAATATGTTTTGCCACATTTTCGATAGGCATGTTCAATCGATACAATGTTTCGATCGATAAGTGTGATCACAAACATCAATAATATACTATTTATATCAATCCGAGTGATGGCTGCATGCTCGTCCCCTGCTATATTCGATTCTTCGGCGATATTTAGATATGTCGAGACTTATATTTATCACTATGCCAATAATTCCCTTTTTTTTCTTTTTTTTTTTACAACACGGGGCAAACGATCATTCGGTTCACCTGGTGGTAAGTGACTACCGCCGCCCTTGATCACTCACAACACCAACGGCATTGCAGGTGCGCTGCCGTCCTTTTAAGCCTCCTAGCATTACCTTTTTACGTTAACAGCAGTGACTAATTCTACTGTCTTCCCCATCAGTGATTATAGTCGTGTGCATATATATTTAAATATTGTATTAATTCATACAGTACGGAGCATTCGTCCAAAGTCAAGTCCTTCATGCTGGATGTGCTGTGCCCACTCATCACAGAGTCGGACGTGGTGTCCAACGAGTTGCTGAACGTGATGCTTATAAATCTAATCGAGCCGAACAAGCGCGAGCACAAGCACGCGTACGCGCTCGCCAAGGAGCTCATAGTCAAGACTAGTGACACTCTTGAGCCTTACATACAAGCGGTAAGTTGTCACTTATTTTTAATAATAATTCTTTATTTGGAACAAAAACATTTATTACAATATTATTAAAAACGATATCCGCAGAAGTATAAAGCTAAGTCGCTAATATCAACTCCCTCCTCTTGATTGCAGGATTCCAAAACGAACCAAGTATTCTCTGTATTCTCGACTGATATATTGTTTTGTATTGTAAATTTTTTATTGTACATAATTTATATTGGACACATTAAGAGATTTAATATAAGGTATTTATTGCTCAGAAAAAATGTATACGGGGTATATGCGGGATTAGGATACTTACTCCCATTCGTGTTTCAACCGTGAAGCAGTTGTGTTTGCATGGCTGTGTTTCGGTTTGAAGAGTGGGATATGGCGTGAATTTACTGGGTACAGAGGAATAACACCTGAGTCCTCAGGAATGGCAGCGCATGGGGGGTATCATGGGCGAAACAGTATACTCTGTTATGTCCATGGTACTGCTCATGTCTATAGGCGACGGTCACCACTTTCCATCAGGTGGGCCGTCAGCTTGTTTGCCATTCTAAGTTGTATAAAAAAAAAAAAAAAAAAAAAAAAAAAAAAAAAAAAAAAAAAAAAACTTAGGTAGTTGTAAAATTTAAAATATTAACAGTTGCATGTATTTAGATAATAGAATGTGGCGATAAAAGACGGCCACAATTGTTTATAAGCAGAATTTTTTTTTATTTATTTATTTCAAGTAAACAGTTACATAGACAATATATATTCTTAGTGCTAGCATAATAAACTAATTTAGCAAGAGGTCCAACAAAATTAAAGGTAGCATTCTGTAAAAGCACACTTTATCATAAAAATTGTTATCCTATGACAATCAGAATTTATAACGATATACCAAACTAATGAAAATAAAACAACTAATTCTCATGTTGAAGCAAACAAATGTTTTTTTTTTTTATTTCACAGAAAAATTCACAGCTCTTTAAAAAAACAACTTATACGCTAAGTCTCTTATAAATACAACAAATAACGGATTTTAATTATATAAACGAAATTTATAAGTAAAACAAGCAAGGCAAGTTAGTAGAGTAGAGAGTAGTAAGTAGAGTGGGTGTATGTGAAAGAAACTATAACAATGAGTGCCCATGAAGTCGGTTGATTTTAGTATATGAATGAAATAAAATGTATGTTGCTGCAGATCAGACATCCATAGCAATAATTAATAATCATATTTATTATATGTTATTATAGTTTTCTGTGAATGAACATTTATTTGCATACAGTCTGACATACATTGTCGATGCCACAGTGGTTTCAGCTGGCATCGCTGTAGTATATGCCATTTAACAGCAGATATGCAAATATTACAATTTTTACATAATTTTACTTTTTACTAATATATTTTTACTAAGAAATTGTAACTATACAATGTCTTTGTACATCAAAAATACTCGAGCGAAATTGATGTGAGGGGGGAGAGGTCTTAATAAGAGCAATGGAAAATAAACAGAATTTTTCAGAATTTTGTCTGTATTTTTGTTTTGGTATTACACGAAAGCTACTGCACCAAATTTATTGCGGTTATCATATTTATGTTTTGGAAGGTCTAATTATTTTAATTTCACGTTTATATGAATAAGGGGGTTTATTTATAATATTGTACAGAGGAATGATTTTTTTTTGTGTTTGTTTGTAATGGATAAATTCAAAAACTGCTTAATCGATTTAAAAAATTCATTTACCCATACAAAGCTTTATTATCAGCAAATAACATAGGATTTATAATATTTTAAAAAATAATTAGAGAATCCCTACAAAAACTAGCATAATGTAACCTAAACTATAAAATAATTGCCGGTAAAGCTATTATAAAATACTATTTTATCTTTGTATCTACCTATCCGTACGAAGTTGGCGTGTATCGCTAGTTCTTAATAATTTAAATTTAGTTTAACTCTGTAAAGTAATTTAGATTTTTTTTTTCAATAATGTTTCTATCTTATCACACAGTTCTTCAACCACGTCCTGATCCTTGGCAAAGAAGACAAAGAACTTTTGATATTCTCTAAAGTTTATGAACTGATATATGAATTATACCAATGCTGCCCGTCATTACTGTTGGCCGTACTACCACAGTTGGAATGTAAGTTGAAATCCGCGCAGTTCCACGAGCGGCTTAGCGGCGTCGCTTTACTCGCTAGAATGTTTTCCGAACCAGGCTCGGAGCTCGCCAAACAATATCCAGCTTTATGGAGGGCGTTTTTAGGCCGATTTAACGATATATCAGTACCTATTAGAATTAAATGTGTACAATACTGTATGCATTTTCTCGTACACCACCCGGATTTAAGGAAAGATATCACGGAAACACTGAAATTGAGGCAGCATGATGCTCACGAACAGGTTCGTTACGAGGTCGTTATGGCTATAATAGCTACAGCTCAAAGGGATTTCCAAGCGGTCGCCGAATCTGAGGATCTACTACATTTCGTCAAAGAAAGAACATTGGATAAGAAGTTCAAAATACGCAAAGAGGCCATGTCCGGGCTTGCGATGATATACAAAAAGTTCTTAACAGAAGACAGCGTGCCTCCCGCGACGGAGAAGGCTGTGCAATGGATCAAAGATAAAATCCTCCACGGATACTACATGACCGCTTTAGAGGACAGACTGTTGGTCGAGAGGCTACTCAATACATCGCTCGTCCCGTATACGTTACCTGCACCCGTCAGGATGCAAAAGCTGTATTACCTAATGTCAAATGTCGATGACAATGCTACCAAGGCGTTCATCGAGTTGCAGAAACACCAATTGGCAGTTCGGCGCACGGTGGCCGAATGGGTTGATTTGCACAGGAAGCCGCAGACGCCGGCCGTGCAAAAGGAATTGATCTCTAAAGTGTTGCACATAAGCTCTAAATTCCTGCCAGAGTCAGTGAAGGCACAAGAGTTTTTGAACAAATTTTCGATACACATGAAACAAGCTCCCGAGTTGTTGCAAGGAATGGAAACTATTTTGAACCCAAATGTCAGCTGTGAAGTATGTGTACGCACCACTGTGAGTATATTTTTTATATTTTATCTAATCTGTTCCTCTGAGCACTACTATTTAATTCATTACTGAAATTTTGTGTAAATATACAAAATAATGTTAACATAGTTATCACAGTTTGAGTTTAGCCTTTTTTTCCAGTTATAATTAAGTGTAAAATGAGTTATGTATGTAACGAAATTGTAAATAGACAATGTCTGTTTATGAGTGATATTTAAGAAAAGTTAATATGACAGGTCTTATTGAGAACATAAGAAACTATAACAATAATTTTTAGAATTTGTCTGTCTGTATGTTTGTTCCGGTATCACGCAAAAATTACTGCACCAAATTCGGGGACATTTCGCTGTTGTGATCTTGAAGGACTAACTTAAGAAATTATGTATGTGTTATCTTGATACATAATTTAAAAGTGACCTATTTCATTGGTTTACCTTGCTTTCAAATCCACACATACGAAGTACAAGTAAACTAGTTTTTTTTTTTATACAATTTTGAATGGCAAACAAGTTGATGACTCATCTCATGGAAAGGGATAATCATCGTTTCTAATAATCATTGCTATAATTTTGCAGTCGAACGTGTTAAAGAAACTGGGACAGCCAGTGATGACAAATCTATACTACAACACAGTGAAGATGTTGCTCGAGCGCGTCAGCTCTGTGATGATCGATCATGACTCGCTGCTCATACTGGTGGGCTACGTGGAGGGCGCTGTCAAGGGCACAGACATGTCCATCGCCGAAGAGTGTGGTAAGTTTTTTTAATAGGATGAAATAGAATAGTAAAGTCAGATCGATTGGTCCATTGCCCAGAAATTACCACGGTAGATTCCAGAGGGAATTGCGTGGAGATAGATAGATATATAATTTATTTGCATTACTTACAGCACATTAATAACAGTCATACATAGTAAAAAGCGATAAAAGAATACATTAAAAAAAAAAAGCAAAATATATAAAAGAAATAACATTTTTTTCTTTCTTCGTGTCATAGTAACACAAAATGATCACAACTCTGTTTATTGTTTTGCCGTCAAAAATAAAAACACTAATATTCTGTTATGGCCAAAAGCCAGTCGCGATATTCCTTGTGTGGTCTTTGCATAGAATAGGCCGCTCCTTCCTTTCTCGTGGGTGTCGTTAGAAGCGACTAAAAGAGGGCGAGGGATGGGAAGCAGCGTTCCTTTTAACACATTTTCAAAGCCTAGCTGCGGTTGTCAGTCCGTCTGCCAACCGTGGCAACTATTGGCAAAATCCCCCAAGGGGGAGGCTTCTGTTCAGCAGTGGACAGTTAAAGGCTAATATGATGATGATTAGTCATTTCGAGTATCCTTAATAATAATAAAAAAAATCAACAGGCATAGACATAAAGAAATGCGCCGAGAGAGGTCTGAAGTTGCTGGTGATGCTGTCGTTCGTATTCCCGGCTCACTTCCTGCACGAGGACGTGCTGAACCGGCTCACATCATTGCTAGAGCTAGACGACGAGAGCATTGCGCCTCACATACTCGCCGCGCTTACCTTCCTCGGAAAATACCGGCCGCTCAGTGAGTTGTTTGTGTTTTTTGTAATTAAATTCAGAATGGTAAATAGGCTGATGGCCAATCTGATAGAAAGTGGTAACCATTATCTATGAATAGCACCATAGATATCACAGTATGCACTGTTGTCTATGGCAATTCGTGGTCATTTTTAAGGATTATCGTGTTATATCTTGATACCCTGTAATCGCATTGTCACTCTTGAAACCGAAGCAGCCATCCAAATACGGTCGAAACACGGATAGGATAGAGGTATCCATGCACACGACTTGTATCCAAAGTCTTTCTCTAATAAGTAAAAAGGCTTTTCTAAAGTAGTTGACATTCATGTTATGGCTGCCAAAAGAAAAAGGAAAATGGGAACATGGTTAGATATATAGATGAGCAGTACACTCATTCTTGAAAGGTTATTATCCCTTTTTTGTCATCCCTTAAAGTCGCCGTCGCTATGGTATGAATGCTCCTAGTATGTTTGGGTAACGTAATAAACTTGTGTAATTCGATACGGCGTAAATACGTTACTTAGTGCTTCAGAATATGCTTGTTTTATGCATTGTATTGTTTTATACAACTTAGAATGGCAAACAAGCTGACGGCCCACCTGATGGAAAGTGGTAACCGTCGCCTATAGACATGAGCAGTACCATGGACATAACAGGGTATACTGTTTCGCCCATGATACCCCCCATTGCCAGTGTTGCCATTCTTGAGGACTCGGGTGTTATTCCTCTGTGCCCAGTAAATTCACGCCATATCCCACCCTTCAAACTGAAACACAGTCATGCAAACACAACTGCTTCACGGTTGAAACACGAATGGGACAGAGGTACCCAAGCAATCGACTTTTGTACAAAGTCCCCTCCCTTACCGTAAGCCTGCGATTTCAGTTTTCTAAGCTTTTTATATTGACGTTGACCATTGTTAATTACTCAATTTATTTATTGATAATTGAAACTAAATTTCCAGGTGAGGCGTGCCCGTCGTTATTCCCAAGACTGATCACACTGTGCAAAGCATATGCTGAAGTTGGCACACCAAAACAAGCTAAAAACGCTGTTAGGTATGTGTTGATTGCACAATGAAATGTCGTTATTTTTAAGTAACAAAACAACAACATTTTAAAGCCACAAGTCCAGCTGTGGACTAATATATAATAACTTAGATGGATTCTAAATTTATTGTAATTTTTGTAATTTTCTTTGGAAAATATAAAATTTTTCTGTTGGTACAAAATTAAAAGAATGCTAATATTATCGACTTTACCTATATGTGAATAGAGTATTGAATTAAACAATAATTGTTTTATTTCTCAAACTGAAACGGTATCATAACGTGTCGTGCAGGTGTCTATTTGTGAACGTTCCCGAGCAGCGCACACAAATCTTCACGGAGATCCTAGAGACGCTGAAGACGACGCTGAGCCCACACTCAGAGCACTACCGCACTGCGATCGTCACCCTCGGCCATATTGCGCACAATCTGCCCGACAACTTCCCAGTCCACATCAAGAACATCGTCTCCAGAAAGGTCTGTTGAGCAGGCTTTAAAAATGTTCATATTATTATTTTTAGTCCGCAACGGGTTACTTCCAGACGTGGATTAAAATAGATGTCGCTTAATTTTTCTCCACTCGATGAAATGTCGCTTAATAACACTTGCATCATTAGGGATATTACCAGAGTGATGCTGGTCTTTGTTATTCACAAACTCAATTATAAAAATATTTTTTTATTTTTATTCTATCAGAGAGGGGAACCCCCCTAGTTAGTAATAAGTTCTAACAACCCTATTGCTAGTTATATACTCTTACCAGGTCGATCTCCACGCGGTTCCCCTTGGAGACCATGGTGATAATTTTTTGTGGAAATCGTCAAAATGGATTAACTAATCTGCTTTTTGGTAGCGCAGGCGGGACTGCCATTCCATTTTCATCCACTAGTGCCCTGCCAGCGTATACTGATAGGTCAGATAGAGTTACCATTACATTTCATTCAATAAAAAAATCTCTATTTAATGTCTTGTGTTTCATTTCATTTCACAGATAGTAAAGGAGCTGCTAGTCCGCGAGGGCGGCGGCGGGCCGAACGCGCCCAGCGAGGAGTGGTGCAGCGAGGACGAGCTGCCGGAGGAGACGCGCTGCAAGCTGGAGGGACTCAAGTGCATGGCGCGCTGGCTGCTCGGCCTCAAGAAGGACGAGCTCTCCGCGCAGAAGACCTTCAGGATGCTGAACGCGTTCATCGTGCACAAAGGAGATTTACTACAGGTGAGGCTTGTTTATAGCAGTTTTCTCTGTTCAGCCTTCGATCTGTTATTCCTATATTGTTCTCAGGTCATTATACACTTCATGCTTTCCTTCTGGCAATAATAAAATAAAATAAAAAAAAAAGTATCCAAGGCCAAGAATAGTGTAAATACCAATTTTAATATATCTAATTAAAAATTATACAAAACCTGTAATATTTTTTTGTGTGGTTGTTCCAAAACTACCCCAACAATTAAAATTATATATAGGTGGAATTAAATAAGGTTTAATAACTACAAGTATGAGGTAATTTCTTGTGGTCTGCGGGCCTTGCTTACTATTTGTGGTCAATTACTGGCTGATATTATAGTGATTAATGTAATTTCTGTACTGTAATAAAATGTTCTCTAATCCTTTTATGATCGTAGCAAAACCAGCTGTCTAAAGCGGAGATGGCTCACCTGCGTCTAGCGGCGGGAGCGGCCATGCTCAAAATCTGCGAACAGAAGGGCGTCGGCGACCAGTTCACGGCCGAGCAGTTTTATAACCTTTCGCATTTAATGATTGTGAGCAAACTTTACTATTAAAAAATATACTTTATTTATTTCATGCTATTTATGTACACTTTATAACAAGTTAAAGAATAAGGCGTCCCGCGGTCTGAGGATTTCTCTATTTTAGAATGTTACACGTCAGTTTCAAAAACCTTTTTGTGTCACATCACATCATTAAAATTAAATTTTAAAGAGATGACAAGGGATTGAAATTACTTGGTACAGAGCCATATGATCTACATAGGTCAGGACTTACAGGCACATGCCTGTCATGGTCAAATGAACATATATTTTCTATCTATAAGTGGGGACAGAAGTTGAAAGGTGTGTATATGAGCGAGGCTAGTTAAAAACTTCTATGGACTGAGAGATATTAGGTAGGCTTAGCTGTTTAGCAATTGGTTCATTATCTGCTCAGAGATCTGGCCTAAAGATAGATCGAGGTTGAATAATGTAATTGAGTTATATGCTTTTTAAAGTAATTATTACTGTACCTGTGATATTATTCATCGGAGTTTAGAAGATAATTTACTAAGAAGTGTGTGAAGATACTAGAAAGTGCTAGTGGATTTCGTTCTAAAGCCCATCTTATAATATTTATTGCTGGTTGCTGTAGTACATAACAAATCAATTTTTAATTCAGAATTGTTTAATTAAAAGTAATATTATTAATTTTTTTTAGGATAACGTAGTACAAGTGAGAGAAATTTTCGCGGCGAAGCTACACAAAGGATTGTCAAAGGTAACATACTGTTTAGACTTGTATTGTTCACTATGGTATAATATGCTCAAATATGCTCACGCCTGTCTTGTCTGGTCTACTTATTTAATTTTGGGACTTAATATCAAAGGAAAACTACAAAAGTTGCCTGTGTAATGGCTATGTTTCGGCTTGAATGGTGGAATATGCAAGTGGATTCACAAGACATCAAAATAGCATTTCAGGTCTTGAATTGTCAAGTAATACAGGAGGTAATAAAATTTTAATATAGGCATTTATAATGATATTTTTTTAATGGGTAAAGATTAAATAGTAACTCACCAGTATGGAATGACAGTTGAATATGAAGTGAGTCGGGTGTCTCATCAAGACAGTTTGATCAGCAATTAGTTACTATGGTTTTTCTTAGTAAATGCTAATGAATAGATAACTCCGGCTGTGGGATCAGTATACGCTGGTCACCAGTGAAAGATGGTAGGTGAGGATGAAAACAGGCCAGTCTATCGTGATGAATTCATGTAGAATTTTAATGACCGGTTTTTTTTTATCGTTGAAAATGGAGTAGACACTCCGCCTGTGCTATCAGTATTCGCTGGCGGGGCATCATTGAGGGATGATAGGTGAGGATAAAACCAGATCAGTTACTCCATCGTTATGAATTCATTAAGAATTAAACAAGTTGAATCACAGGTAGAATCGCGTGAAGGTCGACCTAGACAGGTATATTGTTAGCAATGGGGCACTCATCTCCGTTAATTACAATCTCTTTCCCTTCTACAATGGTTTCTTCAGTGAACCACATGGAGGTCGACTTGATAAGGTATATCGCTAGCAATAGGCCAGAGGGAGATTTTGTATAAAAGTCGATTGCTTGGGAACCTGTCCCATTCGTGTTTCTACCGTGAAGCAGTTGTGTTTGCATGGCTGTGTTTCGGTTTGAAGGATGGGATATGGCGTGAATTTACAGGGTACAGAGGAATAACACCTGAGTCCTTAGGAATGGCAACGCATGGGGGGTATCATGGGCGAAACAGTATACTCTGTTATGTCTATGGTACTGCTCATATCTATAGGCGACAGTTACTACTTTCCATCAGGTGGGCCGTTAGCTTGTTTGTCATTCTAAGTTGTATAAAAAAAATGGGACTTCTACAATAGCAATAATCCCCGCGTGTGGCGGTGCGCGCGTGTGCGCGTTTGCGCGTGTGCGCGTGTGCAGGTGTGTGTAGAGGTGTGTGTGTGCGTGTGCGTGTGCGCAGGGCATCCCGAACAAGTGCCTGCCGCTGGACTTCATGGGGCTGTACGCGCTGGCCGGCCGCGAGCCCGAGCGGCGCGTGCGCGGCGCCGTGCGCCAGTACATGGTGGCCGACGTGCTGCGCCGCCGCGAGTACGTGCGCAACATCACCGTCGGCACCAAGGGTACGCTCGCACACCCACATCCTCTCTCATATACTCTCACTATATATGAGGCATCCTTACATTGTATACATACACCATCGAGCCACAAAAACTGCTCAACCCTTTTGTTAGTTAATTGTCAAATTAGCTGACTCGATTTTTTTATTAACCCTTAAATACCTGAAGTTGGAAATTTGATACCGGGGTTATAAATCGCATTGGGCGCCTACAATCGATTTTATTTTAATATTTGGCTGTTTACATGTTACCAAATTTTTTTTTTTTTTCAAAATAAGTATATAAAAATATCGTTTTTATTTTTTTTACTATTTTATCCCCATTAGTAAACACAGTAAAGGGTATACTTATATATTTTTTAATTTGATTTAAAAAATCAGGCTTTTAAGGGTTAATGTTCTATATGCACACGATGCATCTTGACGTATCTATATTTAATTATTTAATGAATATAATGAGTGTTTACGCTTCATTGTGCGGAGATTATAAGACAAAATAAATATATAAATTATAAAGGATACTACACTTTTAACTATTTGTCATGCAAAATTGAAAATTTGGAAAAAATTTGAAAAGTTGGTTTGGTTATTTGGAGAGGATGGATGAAAGAAGAATTACGAATAAGATTTATCGAGCAAGAATGAATGGAGATGTCGGTAGGGGTCGCCCTAGACGGACGTATGTCGACCAAATAGGCGACGTGCTGAAGAAGGGCCAAATTAAAAGTACCCGTAACCGGCGAGCGTGTATGAAAAGATTGATGAATGTGGAAGAAGCGAAAGAGGTTTGTTTGAATCGAAGCATTTGGCGTTCCATTGTTTCTGCCTACCCTAATGGGAGACAGGCGTGACAGATATGTATGTATGTATGTAATTGAAAATTTGACCCACTTTTCTCGAAGCGTTTGTACGGAAACACTCTATCTATATAATCTAAGAAAGTATCCTATGTGCTAAGTTGGGATATAACCGACTCATACAACAATTTTCATTCAAATCAATTCAGTAGTTTTTGCGTGGAAGACTAACAAACAGCCATCTATACATAGTTACAAAGTTTTGAATTTATTGTATTAGTAGGATTTATTTGTTTTACACTTTATTGCACCAAAAGTACACAAAATTTTAACGTGAAGTAATAAAAAAAAACAGCCGTATCTCTAAGCAAACTCTTCAAGACGATTCTTTGGGTAGAGGACTCGATTATTAATAATGTGAGCAAAGATGAACTTATTTCTAAAAAAAAATTTTTAAGTCAACCTAACGCCCACTGCGTTACAACGCACTTCCTACGTATGTACATACTAACAAAGTGGACAACAGCGGTGTAATCAATGAAAACAAATATCTAAATAACAATTTAAGATATTTAAATATATATTAATGTAACTATAATGCTATATTTTTATATTTCTTGTGCAATAAAGAGTTAAATAATAATTTTACCAAAACATCTTTATATCTAGAGCTACATATGAGTATAAATAGATTTTTACGAGACTCAAACCACAAGTGGCTAGAATTCGGGCTGTTTTGGAAAGAACAAAGATTTATATATTTTTTTTACGATGTATAGTTGAGCGCGCGATGAGCCAGCTGCCGCACATCCTCCCCGACTACATGCTGGTATTTGCGGTGCCAGTACTTACGCATGACCCTGCTTTCACCGCATACGACAATGTGTCGCAACTTAAGGTACTTATGATACATAGATAAATTAATTATATTTTATGTTATATGTATAAATTAAGTACTTATAATAGTGAAAAAATAATATTTACCGTTACAAGCACATAGTTTAGGAATATCTAAATACAAAAAAAAAATGTTATTTTTTTTTTAATAATAATAATAAATTTATTTGCTTTAAATAGGGTAGGTATCGGTGATCTTATATTACATAAAGTTTCGTGCCTATTTAGCTATTACAGAATAGCATGCAAATGTCACATTTTGATAGGAATTGATTAAGTGGTTTATGTGCCGCAATGGCGAAAAGGTAACCAACTTAGTATTAAGCTTCGGAGTACCCGCAGCGCTGATATTCTGCTAGTACATTGTAAAAAATTAACCTCAAATTCGGAGTAATAACTTTAAATAGTAACTTACCTGTTATAATATTAAATACAGTTCCTAACTTCCTATGTAATCTTGCGTAAAATTAAAAATGTTTAAAGTGTAGATATATAAATTACAGTGAAGTGGCATTTCAAATAAAGTAAAATAATATTAATAAATAATATGTTTTACACTTTATATAATATGTCATTGCTGTCATAGAATTGAAACATACAAGAAGTTATGGTGATAAGTCAATATGTTATATTTAAAATTTTCAATGTATTGTAATGTTGTCATGAACAGACAGTGAAGCAATGCCTATGGTTCATACTGGAGCCGCTGATCACACGCAACGACTTCTACTGCTACGGCTTCTACAAGAGTCTCGTGGAACGCATGAAGAACCACAAGGACGCGCTCAATGAGTCCGACGACTCTGTTAATTATGTAAGTTGCATGTATTAAAATCAAACTTGATAATTCATATATTAAATTACCTATATTTATTCTGGATAAACAAATTTAAATGATGTATTTCTATAAACAAAGGCTGTGGAATGGTTAATAATGTAATTGAATAGTCATTGCTAACAGTCCATTTCCGGGGGGAAAGGGATTGTTAGTAATGGAGACTAAGAATCCCATTGCTAGCAATATACCCAACCAGGTTGACCTCCACGCGGTTCCCCCTTGAAACTATCATGATTATTTCTAGATGAATTCATCATGATTGGCTAACTGGCCTGTTTTCATCCTCATCGATCATCCTTCACTGGTGGCCCGCCAGCGTATCCCGTTAGCGCATTCCATTTTCATCCAATAAAAAAAAAAACAGTCCATTTCCTCCTAAAGTACTTACACATTACAATTTTCAATTTTTTACCGCATAATTTAATTTCTGTCTTTCCAAAGGTTGACTAGAAGTGAATGCTATATAGTATTAAGTCCACCTTTTGTAGTAGACATTTTTTTTATAATGTGCTGCATCATCATCATCTTCCTACCCTTAACTCAATTATCATTTGTGGTCGGCGTAATATGTTTTCCTCTTCCATTCTTTTCTATTTCCAGTCATTTCCGCATTCACTCCCATTCTGGCCATATCGTCCCTCACACAATCCATCCATGTCTTTTTAGGCCTTCCTCTACTCTTATAGCCATCTACATTCATTCTTAATACTTTTTTTAAAATATGCTCCTCAATCCTGCTCATCACGTGCCCATACCAGGATAAACGGTTACTTCTTAACCTTTCTATCTTTGGCGCTACTTTCATAGTTACTACGTTGGCTGGTGCTAGCAGTGGAGCCGGTCTAATTCCTTGCCATCAGATATGTTGAAGCGTAAAGCAATTATATATGGTAAAATAATGTCAAATATGTCAAGAAAATAATTGGTCAATAATGAATAAATAAATAAATGGCAGATTCCAGTAATTTCTATTTTAACCATATATGTGAATAGACCAGATGCAGTGACGACCTCAAATACATTGCAGGGAGTCAGTGGATGCAGGTGGCTCAAGATCATTCTTTATGGCAGTCTGTGGGAGAGGCCTATGTTCAATAGTGGATATAGAACGGCAGATATGATGATGATGGTGATTTGAATGTTTCCAGAAACTGTGGGCGGTGTGCGACCTGGCCATGTCTGTGATCTGGGCGCGCTCGCAGAGCTTCGAGCTGCGTGACTTCCCGTCGGACGCGCGCATCCCCAGCATGTACTTCGCGCCGCAGTCGGACTACTTCGTCAACACGCGCGTGTTCTTACCGCCGGAGTTACAGGTGTGTGTCGCAAGTTTTTAATACCTTACCAGTTATTTATTACCAGACGGAGACTTTGTACAAAAGTTGCTTGCTTGGGTACATCTGTCCCATTCGTGTTTCTACTGTGATGACCGTGAAGCAATTGTGTTTCAGTTTGAAGGGTAAGATATGGCAGTGAATTTACAATGTACAGAGGAATAACACCTTAGTCCTCAGAAATGGCAACGCATGGGGGGGGGGGGGCAATCTCAGGTGAAACAGTATACTTTATAATGTCCACGTCCCCTATAGACGTGAGCAGTACGCTACTGTACTGTTTTTTTTTTTTGATGAGCGAAAATGGAATGTTTACTCCGCCTACGTTATCGGTATACGCTGGCAAGGCACCAGTGTGGGGTTATAGATGAGGATGAAAACAGGTCAGTAAGCCTACAATAATTAACGATATGATGGTTTCCAAAGGGAACCGCGTGGAGGTCGTTCTGACAGGGTAGATTACTAGCAATGGAGTTGTTAGATTCTATTACTAATAATTCTTTCCCTCCCTGCTGTGTGTGTTACATCGTTTTGATTGGCCAATTTGCATGCAATTTACGAAGCGATGTAACTTGCTCGGTGTGTTCTCAGCAGTTAAAGCGTTAAATGAAATGTGTTGGAATTCGTGTAAAGTGACTATTTTAACCCCCCTGAGAAAACTGTAGTTTAGGGTTAAATTAAAATAGGTTTATAGGTTTCATTTTTGTAAATAATAATTATTATTATTATTATTTAACACTTTATTGCACCAACATAACATGTTTTGTTAAAACAATTTTCAATACGTATAGTGAAGTACAAAAGGCGGTCTTATTGCTAAGCAATCTCTTCCAGACAACCTTTGGGTAGAAAGGATTAAAGTATAAGTAGGTAGGTGGCGCGTTAAAAAAGATAGATTTGTAAAAAATAATATCTGTGACAGCATAGTCATATACATACATACAACCAAACATATACATATATAAATAAACACATACAACCAAACATATACATATATCTACATACACATACACTTATAAATATATATACATACATATACATATATACGCATAAATACATACAAATATACCATATTAATACACATATATATAACACACATAAAACTGGAAATACGTAGGACTAAGTGATTATATGGATAGGTAGTGGGCTTTAACTAAGTTTTTAAAAATGGGCAACGATTGAGCGCACCGTATAGAGGTAGGGAGTGAGTTCCACAAACGAACTGCTTGCACGGAAAAGGATTTGGAGTAGAAAGAGGAAGAATGGGTAGGAATTATGAGTTGGAGGTTGTCAGTACTACGTAAAGAATAAGAATTAGAATTGCTCTCTCCAAGAAACATAAAACGTTCTTTTAAATAATGAGGTGTAACTGGATTGAAGAGAATTGAGTAAAGAAGGGAAAGGATGTGCCAGTTACGACGAAGACGGATAGAGAGCCACTTGAGCCGTGTACGATATTGGGATACATGGTCATATTTGCGAAGTCCAAATATGAACCGTATACATAAATTTTGAAGACGCTCAAGTTTATTTAACTGCTCTTCAGTGACATTTGAATAACAGGAATCGGCGTAGTCAAGGATGGGGAGGAGCAATGTATGAGCAAGCGCAATTTTGGTATCCATAGGAAGAACCTTACGCAACCTGTAAAGGGATCCAGTTGCCGCAAACATCTTCCTGCTAATCTCAGCAATCTGAGGTGACCAGGATAAAGTACTATCAAAACAAATGCCGAGATTTTTGACGCGGTCGCTGTAGTTTAACTTCATTCCATTAAAAACTACAGAAGGAAGGTCATTCAAAGCCATTCTGGAAATGTAACTAGGGCTACCTATGATTATAACCTGGGTCTTGGTCGGATTTACAGCAAGACCATAGGATTTGCTCCAGGCAGATATACGTTCAAGGTCTTCGTTTATTGTATTTACTGCAACAGAAATATTAATAAGAGGAGCCCGGCAGTAAATTTGAAGGTCGTCTGCATAAAGATGGTAGGAAGACCGAAGCTGAGACGTGATATTGTTGATAAATAAGGCAAATAAAAGAGGAGATAAGACGCCACCCTGGGGCACGCCCGCAGATGTACTGCACCAAGATGACAAAGAGTCGTTGATACGAATACGCTGCCGACGTCCAACCAGGTAACTACGAAACCATTCAATTGCCGTTGGAGATATGTTGAGAGAAGTCATCAGTTGCAACAAAATGTCGAAAGCGACGGTATTAAAAGCATTACTGAAATCTAATAATGTTAAAACTGTCAGCTCTGAGCTATCAATTCCGAAACGGATATCATCAGAGATCTTTACAAGAGCAGTAGTCGTGCTGTGACCTGCGCAGAAACCAGATTGCAGAGGATTAAGAAGGTTATTTTTGGACAGAAACAAGTTGAGTTGCTGATGTACTAACTTTTCCAGAGCTTTGGAAAGGAAGGGAAGAATGGATATAGGTCGATAATCGGAAAAAACTGTGGGGATATTTTTTTTAGGTAGGGGGACAATAAAGGCATCTTTCCAGATATGAGGAAAAATACCTGAGGACAATGAATTATTAAAGAGAAAAGTAATAGTTGGCAACAGGATATCAAGGATAGGCATGATCATAGCACGACTGATGTTGTCAGTACCCAGAGCATTAGAAGATATTGACAGTAAGCTTCTCTCAACATCACAATCGGACAATTGTCCGAAAACAAAAAGAGTGTAATCAGGAGTTGGAAGTGAAGAAAGATAATACAGTGTTTTTAACTTGTCATTAGGAACAACAATAGAAGAGGAACAAAAATGTCTATTAAGGTTCTCAATATCAATACTAGTGGAACTCTCATTGTGTTTTTTTCCAACTCCTAAAGATTTAAGAAATTTCCAGACTTTTGCTGGATCTCCATTCTCAACAGATTTATGGATGTGGCGACGTTGGGCCTCCCTACACATCTTATTGCAGAGATTTCTGATGCGCACGTAGTTGTCACGATATCTGTCTGGGTCTTTTTTAAATTTAGTTTTAGTATTATTTTTCTTGTTTATGATAGCTCTAATATCCTCAGTGAGCCAGGGCGCAGGCAGATGTCTGACTCTGACGGGACGAATTGGGGCATGCCGATCATAAAGGTCAAGAACGAGTTGATTAAATTCTTGTATCTGTATGTTTACACAACCTATATTTGCAATAGATGACCAGTCACACTCCGATGCATCTTTTCGCAAACGGTCCATGTCAATGGCCCCAAAATTGCGCTGCATGAGGATTCTACGCTTTAATTTAGGAGGACGGATTTTATAGGAAAGGTATAAGAGTATGAAAGGAAAAAGCATCAGCGGTGTGCTGACCAAACTTGGAAACATGTTCGGGAGATGATACAAGGATTAGGTCAAGTAAGGAAGGATTGCAATTCGGAAAAAAATGGGTTGCTTGGAGAGGCAAAATATTTAAATTACAAGCACTGGCAACAGACTTAAGACGGTAAGCTCGGCTATCATTTTTCAACAGACAGGTGTTAAAATCACCCATGATGATCGTGTGATTGAAAGATGGGGTAAGGTTTTCGAGGAGATATTCAAAGGAGGAAAAGTAATCTACAGAAGAGGAAGGGCTATAGAAAACACCTAGAAGGACTTTGGAGTGGGATAAGGTGATTTCAAGAAAAAGGAATTCCGCTTCATTAGAGGAACAAACGATATTAAATGGTATATGAGTACGAAGATATATGGCAACACCACCACCACCTCTACCGGTGTGATCACAGCGAATAAGATGGAAACCAGGAAGGGAGTAAGCGATAGAAGGAAGACAAGGTTTCAGCCAAGACTCCGACACAAATATAGCATGAATATTGTTATCAGTAAATGAGTCTAACATGTCAGAAAAATGGGCAGGAATACTTTGAGCATTAATATGTACTGCATTGAAATTTTTTACTACATCCGAAAATGTAGTATGCAAAGTTTCGTCTAGAGGAATGTTAATGCTATGAAAACTGTCATCACTAGAAGAGGAAGAGGAGGAAACTGATATAGAAATATCATTTATATCATTGTCCATAAAATGTGTGTGATATATAATTAATAAACAAATATATTATTTATATAATAATAAATATCGTATAAAATATATAACGTTAAAACATCTACCCAGTGGTTTGTCAGAATTGGTATACAATAAACAACAAATATTCATAAATAAAGCAAATATTGAAAACACATTATCACAACAGAAAGAAGAAAAAAAAAGGAAAGAAAAAACAATACATAATTGTTCAGTTAAAATAGAGTACACAGGAATAAATTAAATATAAGTGGGCCCGGATACGTTCACCCCTCAAGCAGTCATCTTGCTGTTATCAATAATGTTGCTTTATATAAACATACACTCATATCTTTCACAGAGTCGGTCAATCTTGTTTTAAGTTTCCCTTTTTCTCCCATTAAGATATTTGTATTTGAATTTGTGTCTTATGCCCTTATATTACAGTTCCAACCTAAACGGCAAGTGACGAATTCAGAGACAAACGTACGTGGCAAAAAGCGGCCCAGGCCCGTCGTAGATGAAGCTTTTGCGAACGACGTTGAGGTAAGTCTCGGACATTATATAGCCAATAGCTAGTTTTGCTAAAAGCACTGAAATATTTAAGTAATTTTAGACTAGTAATTTAAGAATCTAGTTTTTTGTCTGGGTTTTTCTGCACTTAGCCATGAAAGTAAAATAACCTATATTTCAAGAACGTTGTGTCGCGTATACTTACTAGGTCTTATAAATTGTTGCCAGCAAACTTTGCCTTTGTCCCACTGAGTTCCTTTATTGTGTGCTGTATGCTCACTCGAATTCTAATTTTTCAAGCTCACAACTGGACGCTCGGGAAGTATTGACGCTAAGGTAAACAGCTAGCTATTTTAAAATAATTTCTAATTATTTAGTTGTTGACACAATTTGTTTATTATATATATATTTATATTGTCGTGTGTGCCGTGTAATCCCGCTATAGAATAGACCACCTCTTCCATGCCCGTGGGTGTTGTAAGAAGCGACTAAGGGAGGGCGATGGAGGGGCAGCAGCGTTCCTCTTAAAACATCTTCAAATCTAACTGTGGTTGCCAACCCGCCTGCCAAGTGTAGCAACTTCTGACAAAACTCCAAGGGTTGGGAGAAGGCTTATGTTCACCAGTGAACAATAAAAGGTTGATATTTCTGAACTGAAAATTTGATCTCAGACTATTCACCACAAGTTACTATATCCCTTTAGACACCATAAAAAAATGGTATTGTTCGTATTTGTCATTACTACCTAAACACACGCCATATTCATGGGTCGAGGTAATGGAAATTTTCTGTGGTTATTTAACTTATTGTTAATAGCCGCTTCGTGACTGTTTTTTTAGCATTTTTCCATGTATAAAAAATACGTATAAAATAAATATTAATATATCTCGGCTGAAATTTGTTAATCAATTTATATTACCCAAAAATTAATCCAATCAGCAGGCTGACTTTTTCCATAATTAGCATAAAATAATCGCATCGAATAAATGTGTTAATGTCATAAAAAATTAATTTCATATTTATTCGATGTGATTCAATCGCAGTCACAAGTCAGCCTGCATTATAATTATATAATGTGTCATAAACAATATTTATTTCTGTCACAGCCATCAGAAGCGTCTGACACACAAATCCAACTACCTGGTCTTGAGCAACCACCCGAAACAGAATTAGAGGAACCTGCCGCGAAACGCACCATCAGCGAATGAGCCTCGCACCGCACCAAACGGTAGGAGCCATACCGTCGCACGATGTAGACTATACTGTCGCACGATTATTTGTCGCGAGTTTGTTTCCGTCAACTTTAAAAAAAAATGTTTCAAACATCTAGTACCCTTAATAAAGTTCTACACTTTGGAACTAGATGGCGCTCTGTAATATGTCGAAGGGTATTTGTTTTTGTACTTTAAATTAACATGGTCTCAAGCTTTTTAAAATAATCCTTCAGTTTCACAAATTATAGCTTCGATATTCTAATTACATTATTTTTGTCTACAACTTACGGTGAAATGATGTGATAGTATGTTATGTGCAGTTACCGATATATTAGTTTTCAATCTTATACTAGTGTTATTAGAGTACACTTTTCCATTAATGTAAACTCTGCGACTGTTGTAATTACAAGTTGATAGTTTCGTCTACAACGTCCGGCTCTCAATTGAAGACGTCCCGTTCTGGTCCCAGTCAGGTAAAACATACGCTTAAAATATTAAAGACTGGTTTCTATACTATCCAAAACTGACACCTAAATACAATTATGTAAGGTTTAAATTCCTGTTACATATAGTAACTAATTTTATTGTGTGCATGAATCAAGATTTAAGATGTCGGTGTAAAGTGACTGGCTACGCGCTTCTTTGAAGTGTTACTTAGTTATATGCGGCATCGATAAATTTATATTATGATAATGTAAGTCGACCATTACTTAAGCTGTACCGTTTGTCACATTGTGGTATGGTTTATTTTCGAATTAACGTTTCCAGTTTATATTTTTGTTTTGATATATCCAAAGATCTTATAATATATAACTAGAATGATTATTTATCCCGAGAAATGTAGCTAAATAGCTAAATGTCCAACTCTGTTACATGTGTCATTTAATACCAAAACATATTTTTGGACTGAAACAAAAAGTTGTAAAAGTTATTGTTCTGAGAATTGTATATTGAGGTAATTGCTAAAGTAGAAACAGAAATCTAAATTCAAAACAAGGAGAAATAATATTACCATCATGCTACAATTTGACGCGATGGTTAATTGATAATGTATTTTATTTCAATGGCAAACACTTCATATTGCATTGTGAAAAACTTTTGAAGTGGATAATCTTGTTGTATATGATAAAATATTTGTGTATATCATGTTGGAGGCATTCTTTATTGCATCTGGTTTAATGTATAGCGGATAAACCCAATAAAATTATGATATTTTCTTAACAATTTAAATCAAATAATGAAATATAAATTAACAAGTAAATAAATTAAGATCTATGCCAGTTCTTACTTTTTTTAGTATCCTCAACGCTGACAAATGCAAACTACATTTGGTTTTCATTTTAATGTATTTATTAGTTAATTTAAAACTTTTGCATTGTTTACACATATTTATATACACTATCGGGACTTAACGCGATGAAAAAATATACTTCTTTATTGGTGATATTTCGATGTGGATTAGGTCACGTCGTGGTCACGACAGGACAGTCCTGTACGTGTGTACGTACTATTTACCTGCAATTTTTTTTTATCGCTTTAAGTCCCTATAGTGTATTTAAATAAATGTATTTGTTAATTCGTAAATATAAAACATTGAACTGTGCTGTAACGTTAATAAACGCATAAAGGATACTGGAAATACTAGTGTGGAATTAATACATAATTATGTGTTTATGTACAAAAAGTGGGTTACGCCAATAATACATGTGACTATGGCTATATTTTGTAAAATGATCAATTTTGGTATAACAATAATTCGCGACAATACCCCCACTAATTGAAAAAGTTCACGCTGTTCTACAATTAATGTCAAATATATAAAAAAAAAAAAAATCATTACCTATTTAATAGTGACTGAATATTTATTTATCATTTATAAATAAGGGGTGTTTATTTTATCTGGTTATTTCCAGGTCACGTCAGTGGTCGGGATGGCCTCGAGAATTAGCAAACTATTCTATTTCTAATTGCGTTATAATAATCTATCCAACGTACGAAAATGAACAAAGGCATATTGTCCGATTTTATTTTCTATTTGTTAACAAATATAGATTATTTTACTTTGCTACGAGTGTAAAGTGTAAAGTTTTTAGAAATGGTCTAGTTTGTTATTTGGCTACAAACACTTACTTTGTAGCCGCTGTTCGTTTGTTAAGCGGACAGCGGCAGTATGGATACGATAGTTTAGAAATTAACAATGTATGTGGCAAAATCATTGAAGTGTCAGTTCACGAGTATAACGCACTTGGGTATTTTATACATTAAATCGTATAGTTTGAACATCGTAGCAAATTTCGAGGAATATTTAAGATAAATGGTAATCATTAAAAATTAAACATCTATGTACATTGCATTCTAATTTAAATTTGTTTTTTTATTTTTTTGACACAAGTAAATCGAATGAAGAATATTTGCTTTTAATGCATCGACGTAAACTTAAAATTAAACGGAGTCTTTTAAATGGATGCCGTTATTGCAGAAACGTGTTTACCGATCCGCCAATTACCCAAATCCATTACACTCGTGTTTTGTACGTACACATAGAGAGATGAGTCTGTATTATAGTTCTTTTTTTTTTTTAATCTAAGTTTTATTCTTAATGTTTGTTTGAGCGTTGTTTTAGTTATAATTTGGATCGCCCAGTCGATTTATCTAATTTCCTAGAATGTAATGTTTGACTCTGGCCTGAGTGGGCAAAGGGGTTTGAAGAATTAGGTATATATTTTTTGTTGAATTCAATCGACGACGCCAGAACTAAAGTGGAATACGATACTGAAAATAAGATGGAGTTTAAAAACGTTTGAATGTTTAAAAAGGTAAAACAAACTATATCTAAGCATGATATAGCCTGTCTGGTCTGTCAATGTGTCACTAATATAAGGGTGTGTGAGATGACATCTTCTGGAATATCTGTGGAAAATTTCAAATTTATTAGACTTAGCTGTTTTGGCTGTGCTTTTATATATCATTCGATCAGTAGTTTAGGTTCATTGGCACTTCAGGCGGGCTGTCTCTTTGCGACTGGAGGTAGGATGACCCTGTTTATTGGATCATCATTCTCTGCTTAGCCAAAGTATTGTACACCTCATATTTAAAAATGATATCGTTTTCTATTTGCTTATAGACAATATTTGATGATAGCACTTACCAATCTGAGAATATATAGTCACTGGTTATTTCATTAAAATTATTTTGTTTAATTCCGTCACCATTAGTATGTGTACGACTACCAACACTCGAAGATTTACTACTATGATTATTACCACAAATTCTATAACCTTCTATATTTACATATAGTCATCAATCTCCGACTGCCATTTGGTCCATTCACGTTTTGTGACACGTGCGTAATAATAATATGTCAATATTCGAATGTTGGCGGTCGTAGACATACTAATTGTAGCGGAATTAAACAAAATAATTGTAACCAAATAACCAGTGATTTGGAATTCCACAAAATAATAAGCGTTAGTTCAGTAAAACGTAAAAAAATGAATGGATTTATATGAAGAATAACAATAAATACATTGTAATTAAAAATATTTCATGCCGTCTTTGTTCTAGCGTCGTTGTAAATTTTAGTTTGTATACGCTATGCGATCTTTAGGTAAACTACTTGTGAATCACTATCTGTTATGTATGTGAAATATTTCTAATATAATTTCATCCTATTTTCTTTAACAGTTATATTAATTGATACAATTTAGTTTGCACTCTATTAATATTTCTTGCCCTCTTATGTCCTGGGATAAATATCTTCGGTAATTTATATTATATAATGTATACGTGAGTAAGGGAAATAAATGCTTGGGTATTCCTGATAATTATAAATATATTACAAAATATAAAAAAAAAAAAATGTCCAACACTATTTTAAAGTTTATGTAATAAGTTGCGTGCAATTATTACTATTTCATTATTTTACTTTGTAAATAGATAGCGAATTCTGTGAATCGCTCGTGTGAATTATACTATACATTAGCAGTATGAAATAGATGGATTCGCTGACTTTTGAATAAAATTTCAGCGTGAAATTCAATTTAAACAATTTCGAAATATTTAAAATAAAATTAATATGGAACGTCAAAGTACTTTGTGCGTAACATGTATGGAATTGTGCGCAATTTGTTGCTTTTTTTTTTTCTAATAAACTTTTGTATTATTTATGTCTGTTCGTTTTGCACATTTTGTTTAAAAGCTGGCTAGTTCAGTATGTTTATTTTAAGTGTACCAAAAAGTGTCTGATGTAAATCGACGCGCGACACGACGTGCGATCGCCGCAGTGATGATTCTCTGTAGTTATGTATTAAAATAAATAATAAACACAATATTCTCAACGTTTTATTGAACATCTCACGTACAGCTTGAAGGTGAAATCATTGGCGCATTTTTAAGATAGATTTTTATCAATAAACATTTTTCCAAAAGAAAAGTGATGCAAAAAGTAATTTTAATAGTAGTAGAAAGTTATAAAATATCTTCTAAAAATTAATAATAATATAAAGAAATTCTTTTAATTTTCAGCCTATTTATTCTATATAGGGTGCAGGGGGTAGGTTGGCCAAAACTGAAATAGTGAATTCAGACCATTATTCTCAACTGAAAACTAATGGAAATTCTTTCCGGAAAATTTAAAAGCTTTCTTTTTTTATTTAAAATCATGTAATCTATGAAATTATGTTATAATATAAAGAATTAATTATATTTTATAGTGAAATACTATGGAATACAAAAAAAAAAAGAGCAATGTAATATAACACATAAATATTAAAATTCTACCGCGACGCGCGGAATAAACTGTGTAAGGTCAACGTCTCAAGCGTACGAAAAGTACCTACGAAGAAGCGCTATTGAGCGTGCGTTGTAGGCATCATGCGTGGTGTGGATCGTAAAATTTTAAATACATTGCACAGTGTCAAAATTAAAAATCATTAATTAGATGACTGGAGCATCCAGTCATGATTCAGACCATCTAAATTAGCTGTTTTTGTTTTGGCCAACCTGTCCCTTACACCCTGTATATTGATGACTCATGCACATGGGCTTAAATATTTGATAGTATGGTCTCTTAAGAGCGTTCATAACTTTGCATTAAAGTTTAGATAATTAAATGTGTACATTAGAATTTTTTATGTATTATATTATACATAAATTCTTCAACTAGTTATTTGGTTATGTACTTAATGTCTATCAAGTTCTCGTCATGAAAGAGAAAGAAATGCATTCAAAGCAGCTTTTATATAAATACAAACTCATACACACACATACCAAATTAAATACCTTTCTAGATGTGTATATACATATGTAATGTCAAATTAATGAAATGAACGCCTCGTGTGAGTCGTGATGCTGGGATATAAAGCGCCAAATGCCTCCTAAAGAATACCGGATGAAGTCGAAACATATTGTGGGAATCGACAAAAAAAAAAACGGAGTTCATTAATTTCCCGTTACATAATATAATATATAGACTTTTGATAAAAAAGAACAATTTTCAAAAACAATCTCTCGATTATAGTAATTTTATAAAAAAATATAAAATAATCTCATTTAAAAATATTGTATTTGGTAACAAGCACTGTTAGAATTAACCGTTATATATTACATAAATCATATTTAAACTAACTACACCTTAAAAACTAAACCTTTATCCGAGTAATTTGAAAAAATAAATTGTGGTCGATCATCACGTATCACCTGAGGCTGTTCGTAATAAAAAATCAATATCTGAATAAAAGTGCACGTTATAACTGCCCAGTCCTCAAGCGACGATATCCTGTGGTAGGAGGGATCAGATCTGCCACTTTCTTCTAATTCTTCGAAATCTTTGTTTCCTAAATTCGATCGAGAATCAAATCCGAAACTAATAATCTCACTATGTCACTACGCGTCTTAAAAGATCTTTTACCACAACCAAAACTGCATTACATTTACTGTCCTTATCATACACAGAATTATATCACTAGATTTTTTTTTTATTTTCACGACTATAACGTCACAGTCAGTGCCCGATATATTTTGCTGCTCCAGGGAAAAATATTTGCTGCCTTTATAATAAATAAAACAGAGGTGTTTACTCGGCTGGCAACCCCTTAATTAGTGTCCGGGGGACTTAAACTACTTTACACGACACATTACGATTAGCTTTGTATACCCAACTAAATCTGGGGGAGAGGATTGTTAAGTAATGGTAACTTCATAATACGCAAGTATATATGCTCTCAACGTTTACATGATTTTCTATGAAATTCATTGTAGTAAATTCGTCATAATTACTTGCCTGGAGCCCCGTCAGCGTATACCAACAGTGCAGGTAGGGTTACTTTTACTTTTTTATCTTTAAAAAATAAACTATCCGTGTGGAATATGTATTTCACGTTGAGGGCACATCAACTGACTACAGTTTCATTGTTTGGGTTATAGGTACAAAATGTATCATGTTATCACTTGTGTAAAGTAGGTATTTTAACCTTTAGTAATAGCTCTTCAAATCGTCATACAAAAACGGGTTCAGGCTTCTTCCAGTATCTTTGTATTTCGTCTAGACTCTTGCCTTTCGTCTCTGGTACGCAGAACACCGTGTAGAACACGCCAAGTAAAGTGACAGCTGCGAACGTGTAAAACACTACGTATTCTCCGAACTCGTTGGCGACTGGCGTGTAAAACAGCACCGTCATAGAGCTGCAGAAGAAGGAGAATGCCATCGAGGCGCCCGCCATGCGAGCTCGCATCTGAAATGTAGATATACTAATAGACTTTTTTATAGGTGCTGATTAAATGATAACATCATCTGTGTTCTGTGTTATCGTACTCTAAAGCTATTATTCTACAAATATCATCTCTGAAACCGCGTTGTACGCGTTTTCTCCCACGAGTACTCAGATTATGGAATGAGCTCCCTGCCGAGGTTTTCCCAAGAGACTACAGCATGGGGTTCTTCAAAAGGGGCGTAAAGAGGTTTCTTCAGGGCGGTAACGCGCGCGTAATACCTCTGGTATTGCAGGCGTTCATAGGCTACGGTAACCGCTTACCATCAGGTGGGCCGTATGCTGGTTTGCCACCTCAGTGCTATAAAATATTAAATACCGGGAATTAAACTACAAACCTGGAATGTGAATACTTCAGCCATGACCACCATAGGTACAGGCGCTAATCCAGCACCGTACGCCAAGATACATACGCAGACTGCGAGCACCGGTAACCAGCGTACCGACTCGCCACCAATGAGGAAATACGTAGCTAGTGTCGTCATACATATCGACACTAGCAGAGAACTGCAAGCCAGGGGGAGCTGCAATATTTAATACAATTATTAATGTTGGGGTGTATGATGGATTTCCCAGTTTTATGGTTAATAATAAATAAATTATTGGTTTTTAATAATAAATCGCTTCCGTGTATACGATAGACAATTATGCAACGAATAAATAAAAGAACAGTCAGATGAAATAAAAATATATGGCTTTTAAAACAAAAAAAGCTTTTACTATTTTTAGCATGCCCTTCTAATTAGTTCAGTTTACCAGCGACTCCTCCATCTCAAATATTGTGTCAAATTTCGCGACGATTGGTAAAACTGTTAAAACGCCAAGAGATAACAAACTAAATAATAAACAATCATATCAGCCGTTAACTGTCCGCTGCTGAACACAAACGTCCCCATATTGGGGGTTTTGCCAGTACTTACTACGCTGCTGCCTATTTCTCGAATTTTAATTTTCTTTAGTCGCCTCTTACGACAAAATTCAAAATAATTCCAACGTAATATCAAATAGGAATTGTTTTTGTCTTTTCTGAGGTTTTTGTAAATACATTCAATCAATCAAGAGAGACTTCTAATGTCTATGTGATTTCATACAATGGTGAGGTCAAACTGTTTTATGATTCACCCGACTAATTTTAACAAAGCATACATCAGTTTTTAAGTTCGGCTAAAATCTGCCTACGCAAAACAAAACGTTCATGAAAACCTGTCATTTTCTAGTGAAATGCTAATAATAATAATAATATAATTATTTCAGCCGTTAACTGTCCACTGCTAGGCATACGCCTTCCCCATAAGGGGAGTTTCGCCAGTAGTTGCCACGCTTGGCAGGTAGGTTGGCAACCACAGTTAGGTTTTTAGAGATGTTTTAAGAGGGATGCTGTTGCCCATCCCTCGCCCTCCCTTAGTCGCCTTTTACGACACTCACGGGAAAGGAAGGGGTGGCCCATTCTATATCGGGGCAAACACAGCGAAAAGCTGATAAACGGGTATTAATTTTAACCCTTAACATTTTATTATAGTATGTAGTAAACCTATATAGTTCTATAATTGATCACATACCTTTTAAACTTTTAAATAAATGTTTATAAGATCTTCAATGAGAAGTGTTCCAAAAATAAAGTGAATCGCATGTAGTTATATGCAGATAATAAATAAAACATTTCCTATTGAATGTATGTATACATACAAAGTATTGCATAGCTAATGACTGATGCGTACGATGGACGCGCCGGTTTTGCATGATTATTAGAATGAGGTCATTTTTTAAAGCTAGTCTATAACACTTATTCTCAATAAAAACGCAACCGTAATGTGTCTGGGTTGCATTCGTCAGTACTTTTTGTCAGTCTCTATACTATCGTAACACGCCTCGGAAAGTAAATATTCTCTGAACGTTAATATTAAGGTGAATTGCCAAGTATCTTGTTGAGTGTTTTCCAAAAAAAACTAAAGTATAGGTGTCTTTAAAAAGTGCGCTAAAAGGTTAACAACGTGCAGTTTTCATGCCACCCCTGATGATGCGGAATGGAAGGGAATTGTTAGTAATAATACTTATTGAACAAAGCCCATATCATCATCATCATCATCATCATATCAGCCTTTAACTGTTTACTGTTGAACATAAGCCTTAGGGGGGTTTGCCAGTAGTTGCCACGCTTGACAGGCGGATTGGCGACCACAGTTAGGTTTTAGAGATGTTTTAAGAGGGACGCTGTTACCTATCCCTCGCCCTTCCTTAGTCACCTCTTACGACATCTACGGGAAAGGTAGCGGTTTCAGAGAGATTTTCCACCACGAACGCTCAGGCTGTAGAACGAGCTCCCTATCGAGTTATTTTCTAGAGACTACTGTACGGAATTCTTCAAAAAGGGTAAAATATTAGGGTATAAGTGTTTTTAAAGGGTTTTTTCAAGGTCGACAATACGTATGTGATACCCCTGATGTTGCAGGCATCCAAAAAGCTACGATTACCGTTTACCATTAGACGGGCTTTATGCTTGTTTGCCACCTTTGTGGTATAAAAAAAAAAGAAAATACCTACCTTTCTTCCAAACTTCTCAATCGACATAGTTGTGAAAAAGGACCCAGCTAATTGCAGTGATCCCATAAAAAGTGCCAAAGTGTTGGGACTCCATTCGGTACCGGCTCGTTTGAACACGTCCGCTGCGTAGTTCATGAGGGCGAAACACCCAGACAAAGTTTGCATCCCCATCAAAACTAGTGTCACCCGTAATGCGGAGAACGTGGCTTTATCTCGCACTGCAAATAAATAATAGGCAATATTAATTTGCTGCCATGAATCCCGGGCACCCCATCTTTCCCGTGGATGCCGTAAGAGGCGATTAAGGGAACTCAATTGTGGAGGTATACTTGTTCATGGTACTGTTCATGTTTAAAGGCGACGGTTACCACATTTTATCAAGCCGTCAGCATTGACTGCTAATTTAAGTCGCATTAAAAACAAAACATACCTACATGAAAATGTGAATTATTAATTCCTTATCTACACACAAAACAATGTAGTTTACGCAAAGGGCAATGCTCGTTTTAAAATAGTTTTTTGTTAGGAATAAATGAGTAAATATTATAAAGTTTCATATTATATTTTTATCTTCTAATTTTAAATGTTATGTGAATTGTAGATAGGTAGGGCATTAATTTATAGTAATTATTTTAAATTTATTAGTAATAGGTGTGTATACATTTTTATTGAATTAAAAAAAATCGTAAGAATCAATAACCCTTGTAGTTTGGATAAGATTATAAATATTCAGTCAGGCTACAATGAAAAATGTGTTTTTTTTTTTTACTACAATATAGAAAACACCGAATTATAAGTATTAGACACAGAACGCCTAAACCAGGCAGCGAGATTATCAGTGGAGAGATTAAATAATTTAAAATTTTACTTAAAATAAGATTTTATTCCATAAAAATCGACTTCGACCTAACGACGGCCTTACCTACTACGAGGCTCCGAGCGGTAGGTCTTTGCGAGGCCCTTTGTCCTTCGTGAAAAGTATGTGATTCGAAACTAGGTCTGGTTGTTTGATTTAGGTATTTGTCATGTTTGACGAGAAATGTTAAAGTGATACAAATAAATAAAATTTGTGTTTTAAATTATTGGAAATTTTCCGTTGACTCAAGAAAACTGTGTCTTATTTTACATTTTTTTTACAATTGATTTTTTTTTGTATATTTTAGTGTTGGTAATTTTCTTCATTCGCAATTAAAATGCCTCAATCGAGAAGTTTTTGAAACTTGCCGACTAGACAAAATGCCACTTACTGGTTGTTTAAAATTTGCTGGGGTTATTACGCGAGGCACCGGGCGATTGCCCTGTTTGCCTTCCCCTAAGGCCGCCACTGCTTCGACCATAGCAAAATTAGAACGGGAACAACACGGAACAATAATTTCTATAAAAAAATCATAATTAAAACCATTTCAACATTCGCCATTGGGTAACAAGTTGTTTGTAACAAAAAAATCAGTTGAGCAGTTTTCATTCGGTCTATCTGTGTATCAAATTAAAATTAAATCCGTTCAGTTGATAATGATATAATATACATAAGTTACGTACTTTATTTATATTTATTTATACTTTATTGTATATACTAATTATACATAAAAATATTATATGAAGGCGAGCTTAACTCTAAAAGCGTTCTCTTCCAGCAAACCCAAAGTTGCAAGGAGCATCAATGTCAATTAAATTTATGGTATATATATATATATATATATATATATATATATATATATATATAGATCACTTACCAACGCTCATGACTGTCACCCTCGGCATAGCTTCGTAAAGACATCTATCAGTTTTTAGTTTGGCCAATTCGTCTATCACTATCTTGTCACTTTTATGGACGCTGCGCAACCAAGCTATTGTTTTTGCAGCTTTCTGTAAAAAAACAAATTTGTTAACATAAATGTTGAATTGAAATAGCCAATTTTTTTATGCAGCTTAGAATATCGGTCCACCTGATGGAAAATTGTAACCGTCGCCTATAGACATGAGCAGTAGGTATCATGGGCATAACAGAGTATACTGTTTCGCCCATGATACTCCCAGGCGTTGCCATTCCTAAGACTCCGGTGTTATTCCTCTGTATCCTATGAATTCACTGGTATATCCCACCCTTCAAAACGAAACACAGTCATGCAAACACAACTGTTTCACTGTAGAAACACGAATGGAACAGAGGTGCCCAAGCAAACGATTTTTGTACAAAGTCTCCCTCTGGTAAATTTATAAAATTCACCAGAATAGAATGGGCCATTGCTACCTTTCTCGTGTGTGTCATAAAAAGCGGCTAAGGGAACTTAATGGTCATGGAATGGGCAGCAGCGTTCGTTTTAAAACATCACCAAAGCTTTACTGCGGTCGTTAATCCACCTACCAAGCGTGGTAACTACTGACAAAATCCTTTCAAGGGTAAACTTCCATAAGAAATGTTTCCGTTCCTTAAGGTAGTTTATAGAGGAGACTTATGTTCAGTTGTGGACAAACAATGATGATGATGTTAAAGTAAGATACGCACCTTTTCATTACCATTCTTGAGCATATAGTTAGGAGACTCGGGCATAAAGCAAAACAGTAAAACGTGACTTGCAGCAACCGCTAAATAAATCGCTTGATTGCCAACATACGAGACCGACATGCCGACTGCATATACAAATATGACTCCAAGCTTGCACACTGTCATAGTTAGCGATGCAAGCGCCCCCCGCCACGAGTCTTCGGATATTTCTTTGACATAAACAGGGACTACTACGAAACAGCCGCTCGCAGCTAGACCGGCTATAACTCTGGCGACAGTCAGGGCTGCTGGTGTTACTAAAGTAAGCTTTATAGTCCAGGATATCTGTAACAACATAGATAAAATAATGTTTTTTTTTTTTAAGGAGATAGGGCTTTTCTGGTAGGATCGAAATGGTACAACCCCGTCTGCGTTATTAGTATACGCTGGCGGGATACCTGTGGAATAGATGAAAGTGAACCTAGGTCAGTTGGCCCACTATTTCGAATTTTACTTATTCGATAATAATTCGATAGTAATTCGAATAAACTTATTCGAATTACGAATTTTCCAGAAATCAGTCACGATGGTTTTCAGAGTGTTTTTTTAAATGAGTGATAATAGAATAGTATACGCTGAGTTTCCAGAGTGGATCGCGCGATGGTCAAATTAACAGAGTATACTGCCTCATGGCCTCTCTTACATTTGCATCCGCTAACTCTTTACATAATATTTAGTTACATTAGTTACATTCACAGTTAAATATTTAGTTAACAAAATGTTTATTTAGTTTAGAAAATTAATGGCTAAAATAATTATAGTGGTAATAACTGTTTATCAGATAAAATTTCTGTTGACTGAGATTCCTTATAGACATTATTATCTTTATATTATATATATAATTATATATAAATAGGCATTAGATGTAATTTAATGATTATGTTATCACCCATATTATAGGCTTCATAATAGTTCTTATATACCTAGGTACTACTCTAAACTGTCGCCTTAAGATATTTTTAACTTTTAACTGTTATTGTTTTTTTTTTATTATAAGTCGAGTGAGGATTTTAACCAATAAAAGAGACACTTGTAAATATTTTTTTTATTAATAAATCTATAATGACGTAATTTTGTTTTACTCAGTGGTTGGGTCATCGACGCTATAACTTTTTTTTTTATGTAACTTAGAATGGGAACCAAGCTGATGGCCAACCTGATGGAAAGTGGTAATCGTCGCCTATAGACATGAGCAGTACTATGGACATACATATATACATACATACATATCATCTATTGTTTTAGCTTGTGTTTACTGTAACAAAGATTCTACAATCTGATATCCAAAATATCATGGATGGTATTATGGGTAGATTACAAGACGTTATCAGAGTATGGGATTGGCAATCATAACCATATTAGCTATTATCTGTCCACTGCTGGGATGGTAATATTCACTATTAATCACATAACAGCAATAAAAAAGCAATAAACAAAAAATTACTTGTCATTCAGAGCAATTAATTTTTCTATTTTTTTACGGTTAAAAGGTAAAACGGAACTCATGAAGATTAAGGGATATTAATAATAATAATAATAAATAGATTTATTTTCTCTTCACAATTCATCACAGTGAGATACAATGGGACATGCTTATATTAAAGTAATCAAATTATAAATATAATTGTGAGAGACTGGTTCCTGAGGTAAGTATAGGAATACCTGTATTACAGGTCACTAGGGCCTGTAAAGGATCATTACTTTTCCGTTTGTCGAGATCGTTTCATTCAAGAATGCGTGGAGGTTTTAATATCAAATACTCAAGCATGCAATCCCTTGAAGCTAAAGTGAAAAAATCTAACTTCTAAGTAAATGCAAAAGATATGGCTATTTATAGCGTATATTTTGACGTCGATGCAAGGGATCCAAAAATTAGAGGGTGCTTCCCGTTGATGTAGAATCATTGACAAGAAGCAATGTTGTACAGCACAAGTAAAGAGAACAATCCAAAAACTGTAAATTTGTATGTAACTACATCACAAAAAATTTTTATAGGTAAATTATTTATTGAACGAAAACTCGCACGTGACCGGTTTTTTTTTAAATAATATCTGGCAATACTGATAACATGTGTACGTTCTAAAATGAACTTCTTAGGTACTTTTATTGTTGTTTTTTGTACCTTTTATGACCGGATACTGAGGATCAAAACATAAAAAGGAATTTTGTGGAAAAATTCTCTTTCGTCTCAGCATGATAAAGTTACAGGATTATGGAAATTTGGATGTGTTTTTAGACTTCAGCAAAGTTAAATTGTATTTCTACTTACACTGGACAAAAATGAGACTCCAATTATGCAAATTTTTCTTCCGAATCTATCTGAGGCGTAACTGAAGAAGGGTATCCCGCAAATGGCAGCCAGCGGTAATGCCGCTGCCATCCACGAGATGGCGTTGTCTGTTACTGGTACTCGAGCTGGTGTGTTCGCCGACTTCAGGAGAGGGCCCATCGGTGAGAGCCAGCCAATTTGGATACCGTATGTGAATGTCGGGATAGTTGCTGAAACAATAGACTAATTAACTTAGTTATGGCAATAATACTGATTTAATAGAATGGGTCTTTCCCGTGGGTCCAAGACAGGCGATTATGAGAACCTAATGGTCGAGAGATAGGCAGCAATGTTCCTCTTAAAACATCACCAAAACCTAACTGCACTTGTTAGTCCGCCTGTTAAGCGTGGCAACTACTGCCTCCCTCCCCTATAAATGGGGGCGGCCTATGTTCAACACAGTAAACAGTTATTGGCTGATATGATGATGATGACATGATGATTATAGCAAACTGGAGCGAATCCCACCTCCCATATTGCCCAATGAGACGTTTATGAGTGAATTAGCAATATTTTCGTGGCCTCTTAAAAAAGACATTATGTACTCTCAGATATGTCTTAGGTAGACCATATTGAAAAGAGAAGAGAAGAAGCAGAAGCTCGCATATTGGAGCGGGTACTAGACAGTAATGGGGTGGGCTTGGCCACATAGTGCACATTAGGTAGTCACCAGTGAAAAATGATAGGTGAGGATGAAAGTAAGTCTGTTGGCCTATTGTGATGAATTCCATAATAATTAACCACGTTGTGCCACGGTGATGTCCAGGGAAAATCATGTGGAGGTTGACAGGTTTCAAATGGTGTTTGAGAGAGATCTCCTTATGGATTGAGTACTTTCTAACATAACATGTCGATTGTATGTGTTTTTTTTTTAAATTATGAAAAATAATTCATGGCTACATGAAAAATAATACAATACACAGTGCGTGTCATTTTGAATAGAAGTATAGTACAGTAGGTTTTACAAATACACATGTAACTTGGTCTCTTGTTGTTTTTTTTTGTTTGACAAACATTTGAATTCAACCAATTTGAAAAAGAAGGGGGTTCTCAATTCGGTTGTATTTTTTTCGTCAGTTCTAAACCAATTTGGAAACCACTTTTTTTGACTGCTTTTGTCACAACTAAAGCCGGATTTTTTTTTGTAGGACAATCATAATTATATTTTGCAACAATGCAATACCTATATTTATTTTCGATGAATAAATAATGTGCTAAGTAAATAAATAAGATTATCTGTTAATAACAATTGGTTCTTAGAAGGTTATAAGTGTCATATGTAACATCCACAAAATATTAAATCTATTGTTTTCCAATTATATTTCCACTTTGGAAATTCGTTTTTCAAACATGGACGTCATTTTTTAAACAATTGTCACAAGTGTTAGCCATACCTATTCAGTATAGTAACTATCAAGCCCGCTTCATATTAATTAAAAAAAAAATGGTTGTAAGAAATCTATGTAGCCAGTAGCAATATTATTTTATTGTATTGATACCAGGTGAATACGTAGATAGATTTATTTTTATTTTTGTCAATATAAAGACAGTGGCGACTTTTAAATAATGTGATTATTTGCTCTCCGCCAACTAGGTACACTAAATGGTTCTGTCTCTTATATTTGCTGTATCCTTAAAATATGGAATTATCTCGTCACCCATGTATTTCTCTTTCTTACTAGTAGTTACCAGGCATTCAAGCGGAAAATGAACAGGCATATAGGTACATATGTAGGAAATTTTCTAAAAAGCTATTAAAAGAAACAACGAAAAAATTTTTTTCTAAGGCCGTAGACCTTTTTTCAGATAAGAAAAAATTGCAAAATTTTTTTGGTGGTTTTCTTAGGATTACTCCAAAACCAAACATGATAAAAAATATTCATGGTCATGTCTGAAAACTAGACATTGGAGCTACAATTTGCTTTTTTTTCTTTTTGCTGAACTATCATTTTCCTCGGAGTTACAGTTTGTTGAAAGTCACCTAAAAATTATATTTTTCTATATTCCTTAATTTTTTTGTCTAGTGTATAATAACTCTATTTTGCACACTATATATTATGCATACGCTTGCTAACAGATAAGATGTAATGAGTGATTAACTGACAGATAAAAAAAAAATAAACTTTGCTACATAATTATAGAGAACATATTCCAGCCAGCGGACTAATTCGCGGGTAAAAGCTTATCCTTACTCATTCTTTATAAATATTTTTATTGCTTGATTGTGCTTAACCAATTATTATGAAATTTGGTATACACGCACTATGTAGGATGGAGGATATAAGCTATTGTTTATTAGATATTGTTATATTGCACTGTTGCCTCTTTATCTTGCTTTTATGTAATTAATTATTCATTTTGTTTGCATACATATTGTTAATCTTTATAATCTGTATCATTCTTTAAAGAGAACAATAAAGAGTTTTCATTAATTCATTTATTTATCTCGGTCAATGAACATATCTCGGTCATACTGACGAAGTAGTGAGTAAAACCTACTTTAAAATTATGTATTGCTAGTCAATAAGTGATTAATACATACTAAATAAATGTAATTACAAGTAGTTTCAAACGTGATGAGTTTTTTTGTCAAAGAATTACGTAATTTTTTTGTCATACACTCGTGCTGTCGCATTTGGATTTTAGGGTATGAAATGATGAAATGATCTTAGCACCTTATGTACCTAGTACCGTGATTGACGTTTCTAAACCGGTCGCGTATGTAAATATAGTATGTAAATAATGGCGTTTTACAACAAGAATAGTAGAAGTAAGTTTTGTAAAAAAACATTATATTTTTCAGCTGATTTAAAAAAGAAGTTGTTTCTTAATTCGGTTTTTTTTTAAGTTTGTTACTTTATATCTCTGTCAGTTGTGAACTGATTTGGAAAATTCTGTTTTTTTATCTGAAAGGATATATTTACAGATTGGTCTCATAGAAATTTTATCAAAATCGATTTTGTACTTCAGTTTTGAAATCGAAATATCTGGTTTTGCCACAGTTGAAGTCGGTGTTTTTGTGGGACACACTTAATTATGTAGAGTTCTTTTATAGAGTGCTTATAACGCAGTTTACGTACAAAATTGTACTACAAGTAGATTTGCTCCACAAAAAGACTTTAATATTGGAGAAATTATATTTCAATGTTAGAAAAATCTGTCATTTTGAGTTGAAAACTGACTCGTTTTTTGATTATCATCAATTTCTATGGGACTAATTTGAGAGTATGTATATCCTAATGCTTTAAAATAAAAGAATTTTAATTTACTTAAAAATAACGGAGCTTAGCGGTAACGAACATAAAAAATACAATCGAATTGAGCATCTCTTCTATTTTTGAAGTCGGTTTATGTAGTTAACGTACTTTTAGAAATATCCTACGGCGTTATATAGTCCCTACGTAACATTTACATGTATATATATATATATATATATATATATATATATATATATATATATATATATATATATATATATATATATATATATATATATATATATATATATATATATATATATATATATATATATATATATATATATATATCCATATAAGTAAGTGTTATCGAAATTGCAACATTCAGTAGTTTTTTTTTAAAGGGTGAAGATGAAATGACAACTCAACTTGCGTTAACGGTACACGCTGGCGGGGGTACCAGGGACACATGAAAGGTGAGGATAAAAAATGGTTAGTTACACTATCGTAATAAATACACTTGGAATTGATATGGAGAAGTCCAACCTGATAAAGTATAATGCTAGCAATGGGGCTACTAATCCTCACTCCTTACAATTCCTTTATTCTTTATTGTACACAAAATATAATGTTAACCACAATTCATTAAACAAATGTACAAAGGTGAGCTTATCTCTAATAAGAGATCCAGTTTTTCTTCCAGCAAAACCTTTTCATTTAAATTGTACGTTATTTTAAAACCCCGACCGTCAGTAGTTGAAGCAGTGTGTTAAACCGGTATACCATTAAGGTCTTTATACTAGTATATTAGCATTATATATATAACGAGTACGTATAAAACTATGGTCTTTTTTTTAATGGATGATAATAGTAGAGTGAATCTAGTGACCTAGCACCTATGAGGGATGACGGATGAAGATGAAACAGGTCAGTTAGCCCATCGTGACAAATTTACTTATAAATCAATCACGATGGTTTCCAGGGGGAACCGCGAGAAGGTCGACCTAATAGGGTATATTGCTAGTAATAAGGTTACTAATTCCCATTTCTACAATGCCTTCCCTCCAAAACTATGGTTTGATACAAATAATAAATATTTTAATAAAGGTTTAATAAAGAATCTTGCAAAACTTCTGGTAGTAATAGTGGTGGTTAATCTTCGAGTATTGGCAGTCGCACACATACTATTAGAATACACGTAGCGGAATTAAACAAAACAATTGTAAACCAATAACCAATACAAGTTCTAATTAGGAAGTAGTAATACTACTTGGTAGTTCTAATTCACTATGAAAGAGAAAATGTTGCTGATTGGGGGGAAAGGGATTGTCAGTAATGGAGACTAAGAATCCCATTGCTAGCAATATTGGGTATATTGCAATAGCAACTATTAATCACATTGCTAGCAATATTGGGTATATTGCAATAGCAACTATTAATCCCATTGCTAGCAATATTGGGTATATTGCAATTGCAATAGCAACGGGGAAGCCAGTTCTCATAACTAGCAATATACCCTATCAGGTCAACCTCTACGCAGTGGGGGAAAAGGGTTGTTGGTAACGGAGACTGAAAATCCTATTGCTAGCAATATACCCAACGAGGTCGACCTCCACGCGGTTCCCCCTGGAAACTATCATCGTTAATTCCTGATGGATTCATCATGATGGGCTGACTGGCCTGTTTTCATTTTCATTTATCACCCTTCACTGGTGCTCTGCCAGCATATCCCGTTAGCGTAGGCGGGGTTATCATACTATTTTCACCCGCAATGGGATTCTTAGTCTCCATTACTAATAATCCATTTCCCCCTGTCATTCTAATTTGCATAAAAAAATACACTTTTTTTAGGGACTTTCAATCGAGAACGCAGCATTTTCAGTAGGGTTTCTAATCTCGCGTCAATTTCATCGATCATTGATCTTTTAAACCTTTTGAATTGATTTGAAATTGGTTGAACCAACTCCAAAACGAAGGGGGTTCGTAATTCGGTTGTATTTTTTTTATGTTTGTTACCTTATAACTCTGTCAATTATAAAACGATTCCGTAATTTCTTTTTTTTTATTTTGATTTTTGTAAACCGATTTGGAAAATTCTTTTTTTATCGGAAAAGATATGCTTACAGATTGGTCCCATATAGTTTTATCAAAATCGGTTCAGTAGTAAACGAATGAGTACAGTTATTTTAAAATTTATTATTAGTATTATATTACCAAAACACTAGTATTAAAATAAAATTAACCACAGTTAGAGTCTTTTTTTATGAAACTCATTTTAATTGTTAAACTAACAATTGAAATGATCAATAAAATGAACAAGTGAAGATCGATTTATCCCTGTGTGGTTTTCCTTTTTTTTTTAATATTACTATCTTATGTCTTCCTTTATTACTTCCTTGTTGTTAATTTCCTATTATACATTTTTATGTTCCTTTTTTATGAGTTAACTTTTTAAACATGGAGAGTTCGCCCGAATTTGGTGATATTAATTATATTATATTATATATATTTTAAAAGTCCATTTGCTCGTAGATTAGTCAGACTTTTCGATTCAAGTCTAAACACTTTTGTATTGAAAATTAAGGATCTCAAAGACTACATTTTATTTAATATTTTGCTTACAGATGATTGCTGTTAATCATCGATGTGTTTCTTTATTATATTAAAAAATATATAAGTAATTTTTATTAATTGAATGAACTGGTGAAATAGGTTCAGCCATCTGAACCATTTTTGATATTTCTTTCTGTGACGATTGAAGCAGTCTTTTTTACTGCAAAGCAAATTACTATATGTATATTTATATATTTCTAATATGACTATAAAATAACCAGTCTGATTTATTATTACGGTTAAGTCACTATTTTTTTGCGAATCGAAATGTACTCGTGAAGCAAATAAATGATAACTGTATAGCAAACGATGCCACTTTCACTTACCTAGTAACGCCGTAAATATTTGATTCCGGGCACTTGTCATGTTTTCCCGCCTTCCATCCATACTGCCCGGCTGAATACTTTGATTTCGTGACATGAATATTAAAAAAAAATACGGCTACCGTAGAGGTTATTATTCAAATTCTTGTCACAGAGTAAATAACCAATTATTTTTTTTAACCTCGACAAAGGAACCAATATAATACTAATACAATATGTAACGTTTACACAGGTTTTATGTCATAATTTGTATACGCGAAAAAAATATTGATGTGACAATATTTTCATATACGCGAACGTCGTCATGACGTCTGACAAACTAATACAAGTACATAACCTCAGTATCATTATGATATGTTTCGCAGTTTAGTCATGTGTACACAACTTCATAGCTTTTTAAACATCACGTAATAGTACCAAGTTCACTAGAAACTACTTACGTGTCTCAAGGCATTTATGTCCGTGCAGTAAAGTCGAAATTCATTTGGAAATTAAATTTCTGACACGTTCAGTTATTTTAGTTCACGTGCCATCTGACTCTACTGTTATATGCATTCATCGATACTACAAGACAGAGGAAATTCAACTTTATAGTATTGTCTTAAATTTCATTTATTTTATATCAGAAATTTGTTGATAGAATTGTTATTGTGGTAAAATTATTATTTTAAATTACCGGTTTTCCTCTAGGCCTTGTTTCGAAGAAAACAGTTGATTCTTTTGAAATTACTTTAATAAATTTTACCACTAGAATCAACCTAGAATGCTTAATTGGAGGGAGTCGAACACAACCTAAAAGAAACCAGGTCAATTTATGAGTTCTTCTACATTGATTTGACCGGGAATCAAACCTAGCGTCTCGTTAATTGACATTACTGTCATCCCACTTATCCTACTATCCTACTAATGTTATAAACTAGCTGGACCCGGAACATCGTTAGAGTGCAGCTACTATAATTAGGTGATTTTCAGCAGGGGGAAAGGATTGTAAGTAATGCGGACTACCAGTTATGCCCTGTCAGGTCGACCTCCACGTGGCCCCCTCTGGAAACTATCATGCTGAATTCCAGGTATATTCATCACGATGGACTAACTTAGGTTACCATTCTATTATCATTCATTAAAAAATATCGTGCAGCAATTTTTATTATATACATAATTTTATTTTTATGTACATATATATAAATAAATATCTGTGTAAGTCTAATCGTGTCTATGGTCTGGCACTGTGACGTCATCGCTAAAGCCTAAGTGCACGTCCTTCGGTGTTTCTTCCTCAATTCCGGCAACATTCATCGGACCACGAGGATTTAAAGCCGGCTCCATTTGTTTCATCGCCTCAATGAGATCGGCTGTCTTTTTATACGATGCTATCGTTGATTTCACGAAGTCTCTGCATTAAAATAAATGATACAATGAATACTGTTGCCTGGAAGAGATTGCTTAGCAATAAGGCCGCCTTTTGTATCACGTTGCATTAATCATTTACTGTGTTTTTTTTTATTTTATTTTATTTTTGTAATTGGTGAAATAAAGTGCAAAATATGTAAATGAAAAAATATAGAGTCGTTTACGTATAATACGTAAATAAATACAATTAATATATAAGTGTAGGTCGTAATCACTATGGTAGTAGATGAGGTCAATAAGTAGCTAAAGGTAAAGGAAGAGCATTTTATTATATCACAATTGTACAAAGACTTGTAGCAAGTAATTATATTATGTTATAAATTACATTTATTACATAAGTAGTTAGGTCCTATATTTATTTATAGTGTATGCACTTATGTAATATTTTATTATATATTTTGGCACAATATTGCATAATAGTAAATTAATATCTACGTACTATAAATATCAAGAACAAGTAATTAAAAAAATATTTAAAGATAAAAAAATTCTTTGAGATCACTGCCAGCTGGTAGGGTGCCTAGGATACTTGCTATATTTCCACGCTGAATAGCAATGGATATGCGTTGACCAAAGTATAGGCCAGCCTTCTGGTTACCAGAGGTTTCCACCAGCCGGCGTGAAATCTCTATATACCTTATATATTCTAGTATTTCACTTAACTGTATATTTGTTTATGTATTCTAAACATTAATAGTTGTAGCACTTCAGTTGCCCGCTTACGACATGCTTTCTAACTGTATTGGGTTGACTGGAAGAGATCTTTATCAGAGATATGTCCACCCTTGCTCACAACATTTATAAATGTATTATATTACATATAATTTACAAGTGCAATAAAGACAAAATATTAATTGAGCGTGAACGGTGCTTGTAACTGCGTTAACAGACTAAGGTCGTGATCACGCGGAAGTCGGAACCGAGCGGCTACATACTGAACTCATCTATTACCATAATTAGTAAGATCTACCTCTACAGCTAGGGGAAAAAGGATTATGTAGTAATATATTCTAGTAGCCCCATTGCTACCAATGTACTCTATTAGGTCGACCTCCATGCGGTTCTTCCTGGAAACGTTCGTGGTTAATTCTTGTCAAATTCTTTAGAATGGGCCGACTGACCTGCCTTCATCCTGACCTATCATCTCTCACTGGTGCCCCGCCAGTGTATATCGATAGCACAGGCGGGGTTACCATTCCATGTTCATAGATTAAAAAACTCTACAACTAGTGACCCCGACATGATTTGAACAAGCAACCTTCTGATTAATTGTATATATAAGGCCATCACAAGTACACACAACAAGAAAAACCTTGTCTCCTTTTCGGCAGTTGGGCAGAAAGGTGAGCGCCTTAGATTTTTGGGCAGCAAATTTTACTTAAAGGAACATCTCTCATAGTTTCAATATTAAAAATAATCAATTCTTAAAATGCAGGCTGCGTTTAAAGATTTTTGAAACATTATTTTTTACAATCGCCATTCATCGCCGTAAACAAAGGCACCAAATATTTGTTAAGCAATATTACTGTATTAAATTTGTTTTGATTAAAGTTAATAATAATAATATTTATTGGATCCAAAAATACATGTTTCAATTTTAGATTTATTCCCAAAATTTCACACTAGGATTCCCTGTGTCGCGAAGTCTTGGGCCCTCTTCTAATTACAAAGCTTATTAACTAATATATAAAGTTACTAACTAATATATTAAAGTTAATTTATTTATGTTTAATCATGCGCATTAAATTTCTCCAATAAACATAATATTGAAATGGTGGACTGTGCAATGTAATTTAATTTATTCCGATGTAGAGTAATGTCTAGAATAGATTAAATTAAATTATAACATACTATGCTTACGACTATTCTCTATTAGATATCTTTATTATGTACAATTAGTAGGGACCTTATCAAAGTGGACATTTTGTAACGATAGATTAATGGATATATGTTTGTTATTCTTTTACGCAAAAACTACTGAATGCAATTGAATGATATTTAGTACACGGGTAGTTTATATTCTAACTTAGTAAATAGGATACTTTATGTATTTACTGATTTACGTGAAGTCGCGGGATAAAGTTAGTTATAATGTACTATCATCATCATTATACATATCAGTCGTTGTCTGTCACTTATCCTGAGTCACTTGCATCCACTGACTCCCTGGAATGCACAGAATTGAGGTCGTCACTCCTACACTGTAATATACTATACTCACGACTATACTAGATTATGGGGGAAAGGGATTGTTACCAATTGGGAGGTGAGTCCCCATTGCTATGAATATATCCTATCAGGTCGACCTCCGCGCGATTCCCCCTGAAAACCATCATGACAAATTTATGGTTGAATACTTCACGATGGGCTAACTGACCTGCCTTTTCATCCTCACCTATCATCCCTTACTGGTGCCTCGCCAGCGTATACCGTATATATAGCACAGGCGGGTTTACCATTCCATTATCATTCATTAAAAAAAATATCCTAGATTATATACTCGTCTAGATATTTTTATAGTGATTGAATCATTAAACAATAATGTCAAATAGATGAATCCTCAAGTAAAATTTGAAGGTATTATCATAAGAAAGTATGGGGAGTAATGAAAAAATATACTATACATTTGTTTTACATATACACATAATGTAAAAATGTAATGAATTAAAGGAATATATATAATACTATCTTTTACCTGCGACTTCGTCCACGTGGCCGAGATATATTTACTGACGGGGATAAAAAATAACCAATTATATACTCTATTCCATATACCAAATTTCATAGTGATTGGTTAAACCGTTAAGGCGATATAATGTATCGAACAAACAAACTCACATTCACATTTATAATATAAATAAGGATAAGAGATTACCTAAAATAGAATGCTTTGATAAAAACAGTCGGCTGGAATTCGTGTCCGCAACGCTCAGGACCGAAACTCATAATGCCCATCAATCGATTTTGTTGCACAGCGGGTGCGCCTGCGTCGAACTAGTGGCAAAAAAATACAAAATTAAAATTGTTGTAATAGCATGTGAGTATTTTTTTCTACGATGAAAATGCCCTATCAGAATGTACTGGCGGGGCACCAGTAGGGTGAGGATGAAGTCAGATCAGTTTGCTAATTGTGGCAAATTCACTAGCAATTAATTAGAATGTTTTTCAGGAGGGACTGCGTGGAGGTTGACCTGATAGGGTATATTGCTACTTATGAGGGCTGGCCTTCCTGTTGCTAACAATCACCTCCTTCCTGTATTTAGTATCATTTTCTCTACTAAGACATTTGTTGCTTGAGATTGGATAGAAATGAGCTGACGATATCTTTACTGCTTTCTTTTATCATCTCTTTATTACTAATTTTTAATTCAGACTAATAAGTAAGTCAGAACTACTATGGCGGCCTGTGTCCCTCCAGAATTTTCTGGTGCCCATCCCTAGATCCTATTTTTGAGAAAATCGTATGCTATATAGGCAAAAAACAATTTTTAAAGTCAGAAAAATAATTACGCTCATAAATTATGTTTTAATATTGAAAAAAAAAAAACAGATAATAACGCATTCAATATAGTCATATAGAATGCGATTGACTGATTTAGCTCATTTTGGTTCGATTTCTGGATCAATCTGTTTAAAAAGATCGATTCAAGAATCAAATATCGTGGGCCTAAAATTCCAATTTTTGCTACTCAAATGTCATGCCATACAGATGCTCAAATGTCTTTTCAAATATTCATATTTATAACATTATTAAGACAAAACAATAGTAACCAGACAGGCATCTCTGATGCCGTTCCTTAGAGAAGCACAGAAGAAGTCTTCTGTGAACTGGAACCCGTTGACCAGTTGGTAAGCGTCTATGCAGTAATGTCTTGTGCGGACTTTTAACCTTGTGCTTAATAAGTCCGGTGTGTGGTCCCGGAAAGCTGTGTCTGAACCCTGGGAAAATACATTATTTTTAGCATTTTTGTGCAAATATTACTAATATCATAAAATATATGTTTAGCATTAGCTTTTTGCTTGCTATTTTGTACGTGTATATTTGAAAGTAAGAACTCCAAAGAAATAGACTACTTCTAGTTGGCGTATCGAGATAAAACATACCATATACTAGATTTAAAGTTAGACCTTCAGAAATATAACTGTGAAAACTACATCCATTTTGGTGCAATAATTTTTGCGTTATGATGGAACTAACATACAGACAGATAAAATTTAAAAAATGATTGTTTTGGTTTTTATTGCTTTTATTAAGACCAGACATATCAATTTTCTATAAACATCACCCATATATATTATCTAGTTACAATTTTATTAAGGATTTTTTTGTATTATATTTACCAGGTGAAGACTATACATAATTATTTTTTTTCCTATTCTTATAAAAGTATTTCTGTTTAATTTTTTTTCTGCTGTGCTGCTGCTGTGTTTGTGTGTTTATGTCTCGGTTTAAAGGATGAAATTATTTAGGTACAAAATAATAATATTATAAAATTTTACAGTAATAATATCACCAATTAGACAGTCGTAGAGATGTTAATCAAACTGTGATAATTTGAGTGTGGAAATATTTTAACGAGTTAAAGTTAAACTTTGAACTCTTGTTTTTTTAAAAAATAACCACTTTAAAAAATATAGATCAATTTATACATAGGTATACCATAAATATTCATAGTATTGGAAGATTCAATGTTGTCCACAAATGTATAACTGGTCATGTTAGAATGTGAAGAAGGAACTATGGAAAAATCTCGAACCATTAAAAGTGATTTATTTTCTTTTTATTTATTGATACCCTTGCAAATGTTATAAAGGCGTCAACCAGTCTCGTTGTTTATAACAAAAACTTGTCTATTGAACTAGTTTTGATCAATATTTATATATGAATATACATTAAAATCATATATTTAGATTAAATGAAACATCAAAATGTCCTTTAAAATTAAGATTACCGCAAAAACGGCATTCTTTATATCTGAGTCGGTCTATCGTTTTGTTTAAGGTAGGGCAGAAGCCATAATTAATTTTCTTGGAGCTTTTAAATTTAAGGTAGGTCATTGCATCTCAATGCCCCCTAAGTTACGGCCATGGACTTAGGTCACTTGTGATTGGTATGGTGATCGGATTTAATAATTCGGTCATTTAAGTTATTTGGGTCGCAGTTCGATTCAGATAAATTGGAAACCGTCGCTTATAGATGTAAACAGTACCATTGATATTACAGAATACAATTATCATTCAAATCATCAAAAAAATAATAATAAAAGTGACGTAAATCATCTATCGACAAATGACTGATTGACCCTTCAAGAATTATAAATGTATATTTTAAAAAATACATACATGTATACACACGTGTATCTATCATGCCTGTCATTAAAAAAATGAAAATAAAAAAATATGTTATTAAATACGTACGCTCGTCGCTCCCCAACCAGAGACAACAACGAAACTCTGCGCATATGGCTCTTTAAGCCCATCGTAGATTTTGATCAAGTTTACATGTGTACTGAATTCCAAGTTTTCAGCCAACTTCAACAAGGCCACATCAGCGTGAGGGACCGGTTCCTCCTCAAACTTTGGGTGTCTGACCGCACCAACTACATCCACTAAGATGCCTCCTTCGTGCGGTCGAACGCTTCCTACTCGGATTTTCACGTACTTTCCAAGAGACTTCATCGGTGATACGTGTAGAACACTAATAGATAACGAGTAAAGGATACTTATAATTTTAGAAATAAGCTTTTTAACCTATGGAGTAGAGATCAAAGAATGCCATCTGCTTTTTTTTATAGCACAAAGGTGGTAATTGCCAGTGGCAAATAATCACACGGACCATCATATGGTATTTCATTGTGGTTTTTGGATGCAGTATGTTTTTTTATTACTGAATGAAAATGGAATGATATCCTCGCCTGCGCTATTGGTAAATGCTGAAGAAGCACCAGTAAGAGATGATAAATGAGGATGAAAGCAGGTTCATTGGCCCATCATGATGAACTCAACGATCATAAACCGGGATGGCTACTAGGAGGAATTATATGCAAGTTGACCTGATGAGGTATATTATTAGTAATGACAAGATCATTAGACTAACAATTCTATTCTCCCCTGTGGTAATGGTATACTATATGTAGGGACTGCCGGTTCGCGTTCGCGGAACATTCGTTTTACGCCCGAAAGTGCGCCGTCTTCTCGTTCCCTCGTTCGATCCACCGACCCACCGTCCCTCGACGGAGGTCGAAGTGTGGCGGCCCGAGCCGAGGTTCGAGCCACTTAGGCGCCCTCGGGCGCACGCCGCAGTACATTAGAAAGAGTCGACACCTCTGTCGCTCCCCTCTCGCGGGTTTGGAGTGCCATCTGCACTCGCCCCTGCACACACGCGTTCGGTGAAGTTGTAAAGGCCATCTGCGGCCAACAACAATTACAGTTAGAAAAAAAAACCAGCGCTATGCAGCTGTATACATTGCACTGGGACACTCACAGCATCAGCAGAGCCAGTTCCTTTTGCCTAATGTGAGACGCTTCTTATATATGTATTTGCTGTTGTAATTGTGTTTTTTCTGGCAATAAATATTTTCTATTCTATTCGCTGATAGCGCACGATGAGGATGAAAAGGCAAGTAAGTTAGTCTTGATCTTGATGAACTAACTTAGAGTTAAGTATCACGTGTAAGTCGGTCTTCGGGGTATATTACTAACTATGGGTCTGGCGTTCTCATTACTAACACATTACCTTCTCTTAATAACTTATTAGTTTTCCATGATTGAACACCTTCCGTTTCCAATACTGTATATATAGATAGAAACTTTTACGGGATTTTGTTTTCTAGCCCTGCTGTAGTTATACTTAGTTCTCATGTTGTATTCTATCTCATACACATGAAAACACACACGCACCTACATCGAAAAATTAAATAAATGAAATACCTTTGATATCTGGAAAGGTATTTTATTTATTTAACAAATTTTACATAGCATCAGGTCGACCCAAACAGGACAGAGCTTGAAGAAGAATAAGGATTACATTTGGGGCTAGTTATGTAGAAAACCGTCATCTCTTATGAAATGCCTATGTAATAATAATATTATTCTTATGAGACTCACTAATTAAGACAATGAGCCGCGGTCACTACCCAGTTTTCGTCCACAATGGCGCCCGCACACCATAACCGGCCGTTGATGATGATGGCGGCCATGTACGGGAAGTTACTTATATCTGTTATGTTCCCCCCGCGTATGCGCAGGCTCTTGTCCTCGAAATTGACTGAGTAATCGTTGCGTATGCGCAGATCAGGCTTGCGGTAGCGCCTACTGTTTTCAATTGATGGCGAGTCTTCAATGTTCATTTTGGAGTTTACTTAAAATATAACGTAATAGGTAAATCATTTACAAAAAAAAAAAATGTTGTTAGCGCTGTATTTTATTTTTTATACAACTTAGAATGGCAAACAAGCAGACGGCTCATCTGATGGAAAGCGGTAACCGTCGCCTATAGATATGTGCAGTACCATGGACATAACAGAGTATACTGTTTCAGCCAGATATTTAGAGATATTATTATATTTAAGTTAAGCTGAAAATAAACGTAATTGCTAAAGGTTGTCAGGGTTCACGTATATTATGTGTGTGAGTTTCTTCATTCCACCATAACTGATTTAAATTACCAATTTACCAGAGGGAGACTTTGTACAAAAGTCGATTGCTTTGGTACCTCTGTCCCATTCGTGTTTCAACCGTGAAGCAGCTGTGTTTGTATGGCTGTGTTTCGGTTTGAAGGGTGGGATATGGCGTGAATTTACTGGGTACAGAGGAATAACACCTGAGTCCTCAGGAATGGCAACGCATGGGAGGTATCATGGGCGAAACAGTATACTCTGTTATGTCCATGGTACTGCTCATGTCTATAGGCGACGGTTACCATTTTCTATCAGGTGGGCCGTCAGCTTGTTTGCTTTGCATTCTGTTATATAAAAAAAAAATTAAATGTATGGGCTATCGTTAGAATCGTAAACAATTGATATGACCATAACTTTTGGTTTGTAGAACAAAAGATAACAAAATCTTAGGTTTCTTATGGTCTCCCTGTACATAATTTAAAAAAAGGTGGTCGATTCATTAAAGATCGTATTTTATTTTAAATTCCGCTACCACGCTTTAAGATCACCAATGTTTGTTGATGATTCTAAGGAAGTTAGAGAACCTATATTAGTGGCAGTTATTAGGAAGGCTAGATAAGCTTGTTCTACCATTTTAAGTTGTTAAAAACATAAGGTTACCAAGATGTTCGTGACTCACCAACTGCATTATTTGCATTTGTATTCAAATATTCTGATGCAGAATTAAAATACAAAAGGCACACCTCTATTATTACAATATGTAGCAACATATTTAGTTCCTATCATGAAATTTTCTTTCAATACTGTTCCTTATCATCAATACATATTATAATTTATTTTGTTTGCTGAGCTATAAAATTTTTATATTTACACTGCAATATATTTGCACTATTATAATATACTTTTTTATTTTTCACTGAATAAGTAGCTTATTGATTCAATTTCTATTCATTGGATCAATTGTGTAAACTTTAGTGTATGTGAAATTAGACCTTTGGAATTCGAAGAATAGTGGTAAATGCGTTAACTGAAACGTAAATACAATATAAAGACTTGAAATTTAAGTTAAATCCGGATTTGGTCCTTCGAGCCGGATCAAAATGAAAAACATTTTGATCCGGCTCGAAGGTTTGTAGGACTAAAATAAACAAAAAATAAAGGTACATAAATCTACATTGGAGTTTTTATTTTATTTTATATAGGAATCATTCCACGAGTCGTCAGACTTAGTTATTTATCTTACTAATATAATAGAATTGTAACTCGGTGATGCCTGTACATGGGCAATAGAAGCCAAAGCAATAATTTTTAGAATTTTGTCTATCTGTACATTTATTTTGGCATCACGTGAAAGCTACTGCACCAAATTCAACGTGGCATTCAAAGTTGTATTCCTGAAAGTCTAACTTAAAGTTTAGTATCTGTTTTATCTTGATGCACAATCTAGATTCGCGCATACGAAGTTGCGGGTGAAAACTAGTATAAAATAAATAAATAGCTTTGAAAATATCACACATGGCCATTTTTTTTAAAACTACTTGTAAGTAGAAATTGTCTTTGCCTCTCATGAAAAATAATAGAATAAGTAATTATTTTTTTAAAACTGAAATATTTTAGTTTGAAAATTTGCTTTGGTGAATAATATAAATTTTTATTACTAGTACAGAAAATGAGTGAAATAATAATAAGCAAAAATAAATATCACCGTGTGATCCCGGCATAGAATGGGCCATCCCTTCCTTTTCCGTAAGTGTCGTAAGAGGTGAATTTGCAAAGCGTGATAAGTACTGGCAAAACTCCCCCCTTACGGGAGAGGCTTATGGTAAGCAGTGGACAGTTAACGGCTGACATGATGATGATGATGAAAAATAAATATAGTCGAATGTACTTAAAACATAATTTTAATACCTTTTTCATTAATAAATCTTAATTAAGTAATTCGTTACTTATATCACATTCAGGAATGATAAGGCACATTTGTAGTTACTATAATGAATCTTTATCACAATATAAATAAGAGTCAAAATATAATCTCACAATTATTTAAGACTATGTCAAATTTGAGTCTAGTTTTATTTTTTTAAAACACGTCTATTTTTGAGCAAAGCCTAACTTATTCATAGTCTGCTAACTTCTTTGCCGATTTCAACGTCTCTGCTCTTCTGTTTCTTTCTTCCGTCTTCTAGAAGAGCGTAGATCTCCTCTACACTTCTATTTTTAGTCTCCGGTACCCACATTATTGTGTAAAAGGTACCAAGGAAGCATACGACTGAGAACATCATAAACACCCAATGTATGCCAAGTAGTTTCAGTAGAGGATCATACGCTTTTGTTTGTAAGAAATCACTGAGAGCTGTGAACGTTGTGATTATGGAGGTGGCCATTCCTCGATGCTGTAAAGAAGAACCAGTTATGATTAGAGTTACTGTTCTACAAAAACCCAATTCAATGACGTCACAATTTAGTACAGGATTAACATGGGAGTATGACCTATAGATTGCAAAAAATAATCAAAATTGGTTCAGAATAAACGAAGGTATTGCATAACGCCTTTTGAAATCACATGTTCAGTTGAAATAGACTTTTATAATAATATTATAATTAAAATTTTACAGACACAGCACCATAATTTTAAATGAATGTGAAAAAATCTGCAATGGCAGAACGTGAAGTATATTATGGGCGTCACAGTGTACTTTATGATCTCTATGGTGCTGTTCATTTTTTTTATACAACTTAGAATGGCAAACAAGTTGACGACCTACCTGATGGAAAGTGGTACTCGTCGCCTATAGACTTGAGCAGTACCATGGACATAATAGAGTATACTGTTTCGCCTATGATACTTCCCATGCGTTGCCATTCCTGAGGACTCAGGTGTTATTCCTCTGTATCCTGTAAATCCACTGCCATATCCCACCCTTCAAACCGAAACACAGTCATGCAAACACAACTGTTTCACAGTTATAATATAATGTCTGTAATCGACAGTTATCCCTTCTTATTAGGTGTGCCATCAGCTTGTTTGCATTTTGATCTGTTATAAAAAAAGTACTCACTTGAAAAGAAAACAACTCTGAGGTGATCACATACGGTACGGGTTGGTAACCCGCTGCGTCAGAGAAGATGCACAACCCCATTGCTAGAACCGGCAACCAGCCAGGCAACCATATCGACATGGAGGTCACGTAGAACCACGCACCAAGGGCCAGCATTGACAGACCGGTAGCAAATGATGTGCCGGCTAAGAGCCACTGTAAACAAATAGAAGGAGACATTGTACAAGGATTGTTTGCTAGGGGAAAATAGTTTCTCCTACTTTGAGAAAAGGAATTATAAATTTAACAATAAAGGTTAGCAAGTATCAGTAAGTTAGTCGTCGATCACCATGCGACAGATTGTTAGTTATGGGGTCTAACAACACCAATGCTAGAATAAACCTTGCCAGGTAGACAACCAAGCAGTCCCCTTTGGCAGCTCCTTTTTGGAAACTACCGTGGTTAATTCTTGCCGAATTCATTAGAACGGGTGAAATTATAAGGCCTGTATAATATTATAGTACTCAGGAAGGGGGGAAAGGGATTGTTAGTGATGGGGTCAAATAGCTCCATTACTAGCCCTGTCAGGTCGACCTCCACGTGGTTCCCATTGAAAACCATCGTAGCTAATTCTAGTTGAATTCGTCAGGATGGGCTAACGGACCTGTTTTCATCCTCATCAGTCATCTATCATTGGTGTCACGCCAGTGTATACCGATAGCGCAGACGGGGTTACTATACCATTATCGCCCAATAAAAAATAAGTACTCAGGAATGCCAACGTATGAGGAGTATGGTATAGGCATGGCTGTATACTTTGTGATGTGCATGGTGCTGTTCATGTTTATAGTCCACGGTTATCATTTTTCATCAGGTAGACTGACAGCTACATTGTCATATTATTACCAATTTTCATAAAAATTATAGTATTATATGGGTCAACAGAAAAAAAAAAACGTCCAGAACGTAGGTTTTTAGAAATCTTACCTAGCTTGGTCTTACATACTTTAACCGATTTTAAAATAAAAAAAATCTCGATTCCTAGTGAAAGTTTAAGATGCTTCAAGTATTGACCTCGATGGTCAGTATGTAAAATATCTAATACATTTACGTTAATATAATTTTAGAAAATATTCGCTCGAGTATAAGTAAATTTTTTATATAAATTCTCAACGCAAACGTGAGCGTTCGTAACTAAAATCTTTGTAAAGCTCACACACAATAGGAACTCTGTTAAACTCACACTATGGACTCAGAATGACTCTCACCTTTCGACCGGTTTGTTCAACAATACAGCTCGCGACGATGGATCCAATCAACTGTATAGCTCCTATCACGATTGTTTGTTTGTTTGGACTCAGTTTTAAGTTGATGGACTCGGAGGCTTGCTCGAATATGGAGCCAGCGTAAGTGAGCACAACCAGGTATCCACAGGTCTCCTGGAGTATCATTACGTTACTCGCTATCCGAAACGCTTTGAATGTGGTCTTGTCTTTTACTGTAACAAAAAGATTGGTTAACTGTTACGTACATATGTTCACGTGGTCAGGAAATATTTATTAATTGGAATAAAAGTGGTCTATATACTTAGAATAGAATTTACTTAAAATATGATCAAACGTATAATTGACTCCCCCATTAGATATCAATAACTTGAGGGTCTACCATGAAATGTTTTCCGAAATTTCGGAGCCAAACGAAACAGAAATTTGATGTTAAAATTACATAATACATGCTGTTTGGAGACATTAAAAATGTTATAATATTGTTTCTTTGGACTTTTATGATAGGATGTATGACGAACGAAATGTTAAACTCCATTTATTGGCCCGATTTTTATATAAACAAAAACACGAAATTGAGTCCGAAATTTCGGAATTTAATTTCATAGACCCGCTTTATTTATTAACTGTGTATTTATTGTATTGATATTACAAAAAAAAATCGATTTAAAACTGACGGAGCTATGAGGCAACAAACATAAAAAAAATACAATTGAGAACCTCTTTCTTTTCAAGTCGATCAAAAAAAAGAAACTGAATAAAATTTGTATGAACTAAACACAGCTGTGGTCACAAATAACATTAAAAAAATACAGGCGAAATGAAAACCTACATTTTGAAGTTACTTCAAAAACATGTTTGTTTAAAAAGATAATTACATAAAAAAAAAACAACTACTTGAATAACACGTTGCCAGTCCAGTGCGTTAAAAATAACTTGGGCAAACAATTAATCTTGATGGTACACGACATCTTGAAATACGATATTATTCAAGTGTACGGTAAACGGAATTGCATTATGCAAGCTCCGTTGGGTGCCTTCAGGACGAATGATTAATAAGCAATAATGTTTCTTAAGTCGTTGACCCAAGGACCCTTGTTGCTGAGCCGGTTTCTCCTTGGCGTGTTTAAAGTGAAATTCGTTTAACTTTAAATACCAGTGTTTGGCATTAATCCGTCGCTGACGTCATTCCCTCATATAATATTATAAAAAAGGCATCTAGCCATATTATAATGCCAAATTATATCCTATTCAAAAATTGGCAAATATTAGTTATATATATATATATATATATATATATATATATATATATATATATATATATATATATATATATATATATATAAAGGCCGAAAGCCAGATTTGAATTACTATTCTGTATAAGTAGGTAGGTATCTAATCATTGGGTTACACTTTTGATGAAATGGAATTAGTGTCTAAAATGAAATTACATCCAATAGACGTCAAACGGACGTTTCCATTTGCCTGTGTAAATTAATATATGTATAATATATCCTATGTTCTAAGTTAGGATATAACCGGATATAATAGGAAATCCGTTTAATAGTTTTTGCGTAAAAGAGTATAAATAGTAGATAGTAGTAAATAGTATTTAATATTAATCTATTGTCATGAACTTTTGTATTTATTCTTATTTCGTAGTAAGTTAAGTGGCAAGATTCTTGTACTTATTTAAAAGTAGCACATATTTATATATTTAACTCTCACAAAAAATAAGTATTACCTGTATTATATATTTATCAACACAATTCAATAATTATTTATATTATGTCAAAAAATTCAGTCATGTAAAAAGCACTAATTTTATGGAAAAATATACGATAAGTATTTATTAAAATTCTATAAGCGTTGGTAAGAATCTTTTGGTATTCTGAACGTAGATGGTAGGTGGGTATTACATAAAAAAATAAGAATTGCTCTCGATTGTTACAAAATGTTACAATACTAGGTTTATATTATATTTACAGTAGATATACATCTAGATGAAACATAAAGTTAAAAAAGTCCCAAAAATGGCTAACAAACTTTGAACAGTCTCCCTTGATAGTATAGAAAAATTTTAAGGTAAAACAATGATGATTTATCCTTACTGATATTATAAATGTGAAAATGAAGAATGTTTGTATGATGGAGAAGGCCATAGGCTACTTCTCATCTCGATCAATATACATAATCTCGGCTACACGGATAAAGTTCCAGGGTACAGAGGAATTACACCTGAGTCCACAGGAATGGCAACGCATGGGGCTATCATAGGTAAAACAGTATACTCTGTTATGTCTATAGTACAGCTCATATCTATAGGCGACAGTTACCACTTTTCATCAGGTGGGTTGTCAGCTTGTTTGCCATACTAAGTTGCATAAAAAAATTGTCGGTAGAAACTAATAGTGAATATAAATTAAGTACATTTATTATGATAAAATATAACAATACGAGATTAATAAGTACTTAATCAAAAATAATGAAAAGTGACGAAGATAGTACTTATATGTTAATATACATTTAAGGATAAAACATTAATAATACAATGGAATATAAACCAATACTGATAAATATAGTACAAATTTATTACAAAAGACATTTCATGTATAAGATAAAAATAACATATTTACGAAATTTTAATTTTATTCTTTTAGAGAAAGTGTTATATAAAATTCCGAATTACCAAGAATTAATTTTAAATGTAGATAAATTTAGTTCGTAATGCTTCTTAGAATAATGATTATTAATTATAATAATTTTATTTATTTTAGATATAAATAATGAAATGGAAACAATTCCAGTATCATTATAAATAATAATATCTACGTACCTAAATCCTTCCAGCTACTTTTTTTCACAGACCTGGCGTATTCTTCTTCTCTTTCCAACTGCTGTACTGTTTCTTCTAAATTCTTGTCATCTACTGTAGTATTCCTTAACCACGCTAGTGCTGCGCGAGCCTCCTGTTGATTGATGGAAGACAATATCTATCAGCTCTTATATGTTTTATTTGTACATCTGTAAACTGTCTTATGAAGTGTATAGTTGGGTGTGAAACATGGACAATAACGCAAGAGGAAAGAAAGATGTTTGAAACATTTGAAATGTGGACATGGAGGAGAATGGAAAGGATAAGTTGGACAGAAAAAGTAACGAATGAAGAAGTCTTGAAAAGAAGGAATTAGAAAAAAACAATAATGAAAATACTAGAGAATAGAAGAGGCAAAATGCTGGGTCGCCTTATTCGAAATGACGATTTTTTAAAGAGCATAGTAGAAAACAAAATAGAGAGAAAATGAGGAAGGGGAAGACTGAGGAATAACTACATGGGACCGATAAAGGAAACACTAGGTATCATGTCGTAAAGGAAGGTTAAAGATATGAGCCCGAGAGCTGACTGGATGTGAATATATGAATTCGTTGCCCCGAAAAGAGGACACTCTTGATTAAAAAAAAAATCGAAACATTCTATTTTTGATTTGATAGACTCGGGTTTTATTAGTATTTAGATTTGGCCAATTTAATTGTATATTTAATTTTTTATTAGATTTTATTAAAACTAACTATAGTATATTGTTCCGCTGTACCATCGAGGTCGCACAACACACGACACAAGGGTATTGTGTTGTTGACAATGATTAATATATAAAATCTTTTTTTCCTCCAAAAGTAATCTTCTATGTGACCTACATTATACTTTTTCTATGCGACTTCAAGTTTAAAATAAGCACAAGTACATTTTGCTTCGTAAAAACAGCTACTTCAATTGTATCAAAACATATCCGTAAATGATGAGTTTCGTGGACTCGATATTCAATGTAGCTTTAAAATATTTGAATTTTAAAGCCTGAATTGTGTGTAGTAGTTATAGTAGCTTGTTTGGCTTTGCTTGAATCGGTTTATTGCATAGTAAAAAAAGATGGCAGTTTAAATATTCACATAATTTAATACACTTTGTGTATAGTATAATAGCTTTTGTAACATTTGAACTTATGTGACAAGGTTTATAACTAAATAAATAAATAAAAAATAAAAGTTACACAATTATACCAATCACCAGATTTATGTTAGGATATTGTGTTATGAGAAGCTAGGCAACGAGCACATCGTCATAGTCGTAGAATACTGACGGATCTATATATGTAATATTTGTCAGATCCGTCAGTATTCTATGACTATGACGATATGGAGGTGTAAACGAGAACCGCTAGATCCAAGTCAATGCAGAAAAGTTTAAAAATTAAATTCTTAAATTGGCCAGATCGGGAATCGAACCCGGGAACTCATTTATGCAAAACAACGTGCTCACCTCTGGAGCACGAAGATCGTTATTAAGTATTACGATTAAGATTTTTAAGTAACATGATTAACTATCAAATAAAAATTGAGGTATTTATGTAAAGTTGTTACCGTGTTGCTACACGATCATAGGTGAAGTAGTAGGTTCTTATTATCTCATCATCATCATATCAGCCATTAATATGCCATGTTGACTGCTGAATATAGGCCTTTCCCATTAAGAGGGGTTATGCCAGACGCGCTTAGTAGACGGATTGGCAACTGCAGTTAGGCTTTTGTTGATATTTTAAGAGAGACGTCGCTGCCCATCTTTCGACTATTAAGTTATTTTAGTCGCCTCTTATCATACCCATGGGAAAGGAAGGGGTGGCCCATTCTATGCCGAGATCACGTGGCATTTCTTATTATGGCTCATTACGTATAGTTTTCAATTACCTGTTGTTTTCCCTGTTTCACCAGGAACACTGGTGTCTCTGGCATCGCCAGGAAGGCTAGGAGGTGCAGCACTGGCACCGCTGTGCAGATCCACATGACTACAGCGAACGAGAGCAGGTCTCCGGCGACGTAGATCAGCAAGTACCCAAGATTTTGGGATAGGATAAAAAGGGAACCGAGTGCACCTCGTACATTGTCGGACGCGATCTGAAGATTATAAATATGATAATATGAAGAAATAAAGAATGTAATGAATAGAAAAATGACTAAAAACTGTTTATTGTTCACTTCTAAGAATCTTTATTATTATAATATATTAAATATGAAAGTGAGTTTGTTTGTTAGCTCTTAGCGCCTTAACGGTTCAAACAATCGTAATGAAGTTTGATTGGTATACACGTATTATAGGGGATGGATAAAAGTATAGGCCACTATTTATCCCAGCCATGTGGATGAAGTCACGGGTAAAAGCTAGTGATACTATAGCAACAAAAACTTTTACATTACTAGACATATGTCAATTTACGAGTATATAGAGACATTAATTAATATATTGCTTAAAAATAAATTAAATAGAATCAATATTATAAATAATAGATAGATAGATATATAATTTATTTGTATTACTTACAGCACATTAATAACAAAAGACATACACAGTGAGAAGAGATAAAAGAATACAAAAAAAAGCAAAATATATAAAACAAGTAACAATTTTTTTCCTTCATGCTTGTGCCACAAAATGGTCACAACTCAGTTTATTGTTTTGCCCTCAAAAGAGCAAAACACTGATATTCTGTGGTGGCCAAGAGCCAGTCGCAAAATTCCTTAATAAAAATAATTAATATTAACGTACCTCTTTTAAATATAAAGGCGTGACTACATAGCAACTAGCACAGGCGAAACCCGCGACAGCTCGCGAAAAGATGAGTGCCCACGGACGGAGTGAGAATAGTGTTATTGTCCAACTGATCTGAGGAAAAACGACATACAATAATTATAAATCGCATTTATTTATATAGAATAAGAGAAAAATTAACAGTTATCAATAACAAAGAACAATATCAAGAATATAAAACAGCTCTTTTTTAGTACGAAAGAGAAGAAAATGTACTTTGCTATTGCACTTTGATTGAAGTTTTGAAGTTTTTGCTAGATTTTATTTAATTATTATTGATACTTGAATTTGTGTCCAACTGGAACTAAATTTCACAATTGATAACCGAAACTAAATTTCAGCTTCTATTCTAGTTTTGACCGAAACCAAAAATTTCTTTTAAGGTAGTTAATTCTTTCGTACAATTTTAAAATTTATCTATTTGAAAACACACGTTTTAATGAAGAAAGCAGTTATTTTAAAGTATTTTTGCCTTGTTGTTCCAAAACTATTTTCTACTTATTGATATACTATATACCATAAAAGTATTTTAAATAAGGTAATGATTACATGACCTATCTTAAAATTTGTAATTCATTATCGGTTGATATCATAGAATCAGAAAGATATGCAAATAAACAAGGAAGTCTATGTTTAATAAGCAGTATACCAACTTGTCATTTTGAAATATACATATATTAATCGTTACAAAGTAAAGTGCAACTATGAATTGTTGCCAAGTATGTATGCGTATGAGTCTCCTGGAAATTGTGAATTAGAAGTCAGAAAAGTCTAACAGGAATCTCAAATACGGATACACTAGATGTAGAATGATAATAATAATATTTTATAAGGCAAGACGAATAAAAAATTACGTCGGGTCAAAGTGGCACAGAATATAAATTTTCGAATATAATTCGCTTTTTGGCTAATTTTGTATCGAAACTAAAACTTAAAGAATCAAACCGAAATTGATGGAAAGCGAAACCAAAGTTTTAATTTTACATTTTGTAAGAAAAACACGATAGTTTAGATTTTTTAGTTATTTCACTTCTTTATTCACTCAATGAGTATGTCCTAAAAATCTCACTTTTAGAGTAAAAATTGTAGAAATATCCACGGTACAGTATCATTTGGTGTCCATTTTTCAAAGTCAATAATTATACAACATTGTAGTGAATTTATTTATGTTTCTTAGTAACAACTGATACTTACTAGGTAAGGAAATACTGAGAAACCACTTGACATTTTTGAAATGGCTAAAACCGCAAAACACTAGAAGCCTACCACATGTGAAGTAATCATTAGAGAATGTTAGAATTAAAGAATTAAAAGTGATTAATTTTAAAGCCACAATTGTATGTGTTACACATGTATGTGTAATTATCTACTTAAACTTATGCGCTTTGTACTTTTCCATACCTTTGTTTTTACAATAACAAACTCAATTTTAATTTATTTAAATTTGGCTCGCCGCCGTTACATTGGATTCAAATTTTATCATTCTCGGTGAAATATAGGCTTAATCGAGTGTTATGTTCATGGCGAACGGTTATAGTCGACAAATATCTTTGACTATTCCATTAGGGATTATAGTCGTGAGTATATTTATTTTCTTTAAATATTTTTGTTCAAATTAGATATATAAAAAAACATAAAACCGGTCAGTCATTTAATTTATTGAAGCAATAAATGCCTTATTTTAGTTTTATTATCTGCGAGTAATATTTAAAAATAAAAAAAATATTTAATCTATTTTTAGAATAGGCAAATTTTTCATACTGAAAAAAGCAATTTCTTACGCTTTTTAAGTAATAGTTATTTAATATCCATAGGACTAGATTGTATAGGTAGCGTATGCAATCGTAACTGCCTCTACGATGAAAGTACCTATTCTGGAAATGTCCATGAGAACCGGAGATGGCAACGGGTTTCGTATGGGAAAAACCGGTGGCATTTCCTTCTGGGCATTGTACAGGGATAGGCAAATATATCTACGAGTATTTGCGGTCTGCTTCAGTTGAACGTTTTTTTTATTTTATTTTTTATAAAAAAAGTAACAGACGAATATTGGTGATAACCATTGGACGTCGACGACCATAGTTTGTCGATGTCTAACAGATAAATAAATTATTGATCGTTTCGATTCGTTACTGGATTCATCTAGAAAAACATTACCGTGATATTTTACTGAACTAGGTCTTATCTTGCGGAAGTCCATATCAGTGGTTATTTGATTAATTTTGCTTAATTCCGTTGCCATTATTGTATAACTTCTGGTAGTAATAGTGATGGGAAATCTTCTAATGTTAGTAGTCATACATATTAACGGTAGCGAAATTAAACAAAAAAATTCTAGTTTAATAACTTTTGTGATAATATAAACAAAAAATAATTATAAAGATCACAGTTGGTTATTTAAATAATCATTACTAATCTAAAAAAAAAAAAATAGTAAAATTTATTCCAAACGAGATTGAATAACAAATGTACATTTTTATAAACTTTGACATTAGTCTAATTGATTGTTTTTAACACCAACCAAAATAATTGGTTTTAATTTAATTTTTTTTTATACAACTTAGAATGGCAAATAAGCCGACGGCCCACCTGATGGAAAGTGGTAACCGTCGCCTATAGACACGAGCAGTACCAAGGACATTACAGAGTACACTGTTTCGCCCATGATACTCCCCATGCGTTGCCATTCCTGAGGACTCAGGTGTTATTCCTCTGTACCCAGTAAATTTACGCCATATCCCACCTTTCAAACCGAAACACAGCCATGCAAACACAGCTGCTTCACGGTTGAAACACAAATGGGACAGAGGTACCCAAGCAATCGACTTTTGTACAAAGTCTCCCTCTGGTAAAATCATGTTAAACGAAAATTATGTAAGATCTTCGTGTATAATGAAGGCGACCGAAAATGTGTTAACCAGACCAACCAGAGGGCGCCACAGTCTTACGAGAAGAAATATAAGAAATTATTATTATTTTAATATTATAAATGACATCACTCACCAATAAAAATAATGAGGTAAGCAATGTAACTTTCTTTCTTCCAAGTTTGTCGACTAGGTTTCCCATTAGGAATCCACAGAATATAGGTGGGAAGAAGACCAGCGAGGCCATCCAGGATATGGTCTCATCGCTGATAGGCTCAGGCGCCGGCCCCGTGGGGGACTGCAGCAGGGGCGTCATGGGAGACTGCCAGCCGAGAAGCATACCGAAATTCAGCACTGGGATGGTCACTGAAAAGAACAAAGTTGATTAAATCTAAATTTTGTTATACAACTAAGATGGCAAAAAAGCACACGGCCCACCTGATAGAAAGCTGTTATTACAGCCTATATTACAGAAGCGTTACACGCGTGTTGCCGATTTAAAAGAAATGACATCTAAAATTACAATAAATCATTATAAATTCGACACATTGCTAATACTCGTATAAGATGTGGTTTGGCATGATTTATACCTATATGGTATTTGAAATGTTTCCTGACCATAATAAAAAAATCTAAGAAGCCTGTTGGGTTTTCTACCACAGTTCTGTAGTTACGTATTTTTTTAAAGATGAAAATATAAAAACAAATAATGGTAACTCTACTGGGATATGGGAAAGGGAATATTGTCAGTAATGGAGTCAAACAGTCCCATAGCTAGTAATATACTCTAACAGGTCGAACCATGAGGTTCTCCCTGGAAACGTAATTAGGTGTTTTTGAATTCGCCAGTATGGGACAACGGACTTGCCTTGCCTTACTTGATCCTCCTCTATTAACATATTGATACCCCGCCAGGGTATACCAATACCCACAGGCGGAGTTATAATTTCATTGTTACCCATTAAAAAAAAACTCCGGCAAAGTATCAGTGAGGGATGATAGGTGAAGGTGAAGATCATGTCAACTTCATAGAGACCTGCCAGCGCTAGTAATGAGACCACTAGTCCTTGTCTCTTAACATCCTATCTTGGGGGAAAGGGATTGTTAGTAATGGGTACTAAAGCTCCCATTGCTAACAAGCCCTGTCAGGTCGATCTCCACGCGGTTCTCCCAGGAAACGATGGTCACGATGGGCTAACTGATATATATTCATGCTCCGCCAGCGGTTACCGATAGCGCAGGTGGGGTTACCATTCCATTATCCATTAAAAAAATCTTCTCGTTATATGATATTATATATTTATCCATCGACACTGAACAAAACTCGAATAAGTGATCGGAAAGGTACTAATTTATGTCAACTTGATTAAAATACAATGGGACAAATGAAGGTTAAGTCTCACGCCTGAATATTGTAATGTATAATTTGCATTATGTCACATACATTGTATTGATTTAATTTGAGATGTTTTGTTTTTATAGGAAGTTTGCATAACAGTACAATGAGAACACAATTTTGGAGGGAAGATATTGTTAGTCATTTTGTATTGAACGATGTAATGGCCTCTTTGCTATTTTATGTAAATAATAACATATTTTACTAATATCTTTTTATTATATAACTGTCCACTGCTGAACATTGGCCTTCCCCAGAAGGGAAGTTTTACCAGTACTTGCCACGCTTGGCAGGCGGGACGGCAACCGCAGTTAGGCTTTGGTGATGTTTAAGAGGGACCCTGCTGCTCATCCCTCGACCATAAAGCTTCCTTAGTCGTCTCTTAGGACACCCACGGGAAAAGAAAGGGTGGCTCATTCTATGCCGGGATCATACGGCGTATTTCACTAGTATCTTACTTACTACTAACAGATAATTAGATTATAATTAAATGGTGTCTGTACGTGGGAGATAATTAAGAAAAAATAATGTGAAAGTTCTTAATAAGACCAATAGATGACAAAACACTATTTTTAGAAATGTTGCTGTCTGTCCGTTTGTTTGTTTGTCTGTTAGTTCCGGCATCACACGAGTACACATATTAGTTTTTGTAATTTTGAATTAAATACGTATGAAGTAGCGGGCGAAAAGTTAATATTTAATGTTTGTTTATTTTTATTGATTACATTTACAAAAAATATTTAGTACAAAAGGCGGACTTATGTTATATGTTATGTCATATATCTTATATGTTATATAATATAGCAATCACTCTCAGTCAACTTTTGGAAAAACAAAAATGTAATCAGGCGATGAAGAGTATTAATAATGACTAAAATTTTATAATTATTTTTCAAAATTGACGGGTAACTTCGACGTTGCCACACCTGTCTTAAACTGTGAAGTGAAGGGTCCTTAGTAGGTGTTACTGCAATATCAGGCAACGTTCAATATAAACTCGTAGGTGCATAATTATAGGTATCAATGTATTGAATGCGTGGAGTCCTTCATTGTTAACATATTGAAAGGCGGAAACAATAGCAAATCCTAGTGTCGTAAGAAACTTACCTAGTGCTATGTAAGTACTCAAGCTATTATAGGTATTATGGCTGAACGGATATGAATATGTGTAATTGGATCAACTTAACATAAATTATATTTTTCCAATAAAAAAAAAAAGAAAAAGATTTTTATACAGTAAAAAAAATGTAAGTTTTACTGTTAATTTACCACAGGGAGACTTTGTACAAAAGTCGTTTGCTTGGACACCTCTGTCCCAATCGTGTTTCTACCATGCAGCGGTTGTGTTTGCACGGCTGTGTTTCGGTTTGAAGGGTGGGAAATGGCAGTGAATTTACAGGGTACAGAGGAATAACACCTGAGTCCTCAAGAATAGCAACGCATGGGGTGTAACATGGGCGAAACAGTACACTCTGTTATATCTATGGTACTACTCTTGTCAATAGGCGACGGTTACCACTTTCCATCAGGTGGGCCGTCAGCTTGTTTTCTATTCTAAGTTGTATAAAAAAGTAGCCATTTTGAAAAAGGCAATATTATTTCTATATAACAGTGGAGGGTTCTCAAGGATCGGCAATGTACGCGTGACATTCCTAGTGTCACAGGCGTCTATAGGCTACAGTAAGTCCGTTTACCATCAAACGGACCGTAAGCTTGTTTATTACCATAGTAGTATAAGGAAATAAAGTTCACTTTTCAGACGCAACTAATAAAAAAAAAACAAAACTTTATTGTCTATACTAAATAGAGTCATCACTTTACATAATAACTGATTAAATTCGATGACATTTTGTAGACAGGATAAGGAACTAATATTGAGATTTGTAATTTATCAGTTTTCCTTGAGATAACTAATTTTAAAGATAACATGTTAACATTATCTTTTAAAATAATTTAACAAAATTTTAAACGTAGCAACGCGTTTTAACGCGTAATTAATATTATAATTAGATATAAATACTTAGAAGCAGATCGTTTGACTTCTAGTAATTGACAAATTATCTAAAACTTAGCTGAATTGCGATGACAAGCAACTAAATAATAATTAAATTGATTGTGTCCCACAAAAATAAACCGACATAAATTGTGATGTTATTAAAATCTAAAACTAAACTACTGAACTTATTTTTATAAAATGTCCATGGAACCAATCTGTAAGTATATCCTTATAAATAAAAAAAAAAAAAGAATTTTCCAAATCTGTTTAGAATTGTTTGAGTTAAGAGGTAACAAATATAAAAAAATACAACCGAAATAAGAACCTCCTTTGCGAAGTCAATTGAAAAATAGGATTGTCACTAAAATGACCTTAATTTAACTAAATATTGTAGATATTTAATTCGTAATAAGTTAAAAAAAAAACATAATTAGTATGTTATTTCACAGTATAATGAATAGTTCCTTATGTGGTGTGTAACTCAGGTGGGCCCGTCAGCTTGTTTGCCATTTTAAGTTGTATAAAAAAAATTCTCTGATAATAGGACTGAATTTAACTTAATTCGTTTATTAATTACTTAAACAGATTTATATCCCCCTCTCATGGGCCAGTCCTGTGCCTAGATAAGTATAGTTATACATTTTAACTTATTAATAGCTGTTATCTCTCATTAATAATGCAACTTTCATTTTCAAAAACATATTTGAAATCGGTTTACATTTTTTGCTAAAAATGATTTAGTGGACAAGTTTTTGGGCCTATATTTAGTAATGTGTCATCTCTTACTGCATAGATAATTTGTAAATAATAGATTTATCGATCCATCTATGTACTATATGTATATGTATGTTTAGTAACTAGGTCGATGAATATTCAATAGATGTCGCCGTAGGTTGGCAACAAAAGATTTCCATTCATCACTCGACTTTTTAGATCGGACACGTCAGTAATGGTAGCCATGAAATCAATAAATGTTTTGATTATTAATTGTAATATACGTTAGTCATTTGGAGTAATTGTATGGGATCCGATTACAATGACAAATAGATAGATGATTCTGTTACATATAAACATATGTATTATTATCGTGACAAAATATTGGAATACACAGGGGTAAGATAGTGTTGGATTTATCAATGGACCATTTAGATCACTACTTATGGGCAACAGATACAAGAGATGTTATTTTGAAATGATAAAATTCCGTAAAACTTTATAATTCCTATTCCATTTTCAACCGATTTTAAAAAGAACGACGTTCTCAATTTGTAGTTGTATTTTTTTTAAATATTATGTTACCTCATAACTCCGTCAGTTATAAACCGATTTGGAAAATTATTTTTTATCCGAAAGGATTACTTACAGATTAATCGCGTAGAAATTTTATCAAAATAGGTCTAGTAGTTTCGTTTTTAGATCAAAATATGTGGTTTTGCCACATTTGATGTTGGTTTTTTTGTGAGACACAATTTTTATGTAGTCGGTAGAGAAAAGTGAAAATTTTTTCAAGTGATTTTACAAAAGACATGTCTTTGTTTAAAAATAGTTGATTAGTTTTTTAAATATTTCTAAATAAACATTAAATTTTATTTATTTAAATAAATTAAACTTACTTTAATTTCTTTTTAAATTGATAGATATAACTACCAAATGACAATTTAAACTATTTTTTTCTTTGAAGAACAGAATTCTGTTTATTACAAAACAAAATTTATTTGTGACTGACACATTACTTATTACATTATATAAAAAAAAAAAGATTTAATTGTTTTGTAATGAATAAACTCAAAAATCACTTAACCGATTTTAAAAATTCTTACATCTATACAAAACTACATTTTCAGTGAATTATATAGGCTATATATTATTTTCGAAAACTCTATCTAGCCGTGCCAAAAGTCGAGCCGGATCGCTAGTTTGAAATATTTTTAATATAAATTATCTATTGTTTATCAGAGTGTGTTTAACATTTTA